ACATAACTTGGAATTATATATATTAGCTAAACGTCAAAAAGTTGTTATTGGTTTGAAATGTTATTGCCGTGAATTTGTCGAAATTGGTAGAAGTGTGCGCGCGCATCTTGAATATTTTACTATTATATTTTTTTACAAACGCGCCAAAACAAGTATAACTTCAAAAATCTATACGTAGTTGAGTTTATTCTTATGTATAGTTAATATATTAGTAGAATTATGAGGTAAAAATGATAAATACATTTCCAACGGCGTTGACCTTCGGATTAAACATTAATAATGCACTTTCACATTGTACTGACATAAAGGATATTATTTTTGCAACGGTGAAATGATAATAAATAGCGGTACAAAGATAGTAAATTAAAAAATAAAGTAATGCCTCTATATGTCGCACTGCCGGACAAAGCTGCGAATTGGCGGACTTCACATATCTTCGAAATATTTTTTTTAAAATATCATTTAGAAAATATGCAGGTTTCCTCACGATGGTTTCCTTCACCGCTCAACACGTGAAAGTCAGTTTGTGCAATTTCTACAGTTCTGCCACACGCAACAGCTGCTGCTGTTGCACCTGTTGCAATGGGCAGGCTCATCCAAAAAAGTACCTCGCAGAAAAACGACGTGAATTGGAAGTACCATACTATCGCGTTTCGTCTGGCGGGTAAGGCAACAGGGGTCCACTTTTCCAAAGTTTGGCAACGCCTCTGCAACCTCTCTAATGTTGTGTCTGTGGGCGGCGGTAATAACTTCACCAACTTGAATAACTTAAATATAAATAACACCAGGTGAACCGCCTGCTGGCTTGGCAACTTATATTTTCCTATGAGAAAACAAATAGAGTGAAATGGGGTGACGATTTTAAAAGCAGAAAGCGAAAAGACCATTCTTGATATCTTATACGAGTTTTTATCTGCGAAGTTGACTTCTTGTAACCTTAACCATTTGACTGGTGTCACTTGATGCCACGCACCGAAACTGCCGTTGCTTTCGAGTGGACTTTTCCACTATTCAATTGGAGTCGTGGAAATAGAAATAGTTTGAGTTCCTAAAGCAGAAGTTTCTATTATCTCACTAAACTCAAACTACAGCGTTGTTTCCCCCCCTCCATCGCTACCTACGCACTTAGCGAGGTGAGGAAACGCACGTACCCATTAAATATAACATTTCTTTATGGTCTTTTTAAATTGGATGTAGTTATTAAACGTTAGCGTTAACAGGTTCTATATTTGAATCAATAATGTTTTTCGTTTTGCTAAAATAAATATCAATTGCCAAAAATAATGAAAGAGGATTAGATATAAGAATGAGGAAGCCTGAAAGTTTCCGCCTTTTATATTACATACGCTTTGTTGGAAACAACTTTGAAACAAATCGCAACGGTAATCACTTAACATCAGGTGGACCGCCAGCTCGTTTGCCAACTTTTAACATAAAAAAAAAACGTCTGTTTGCAAAGGTCCTTATTGCAAAATTTTCTGCTATTAACGTTTTATCAATTGAAAAAACGACCAATAAGAATTTAAAACGTATAAAGCAGACAGGCAGACGAAGGCAATTATCCAGGCACGACTTACAAGTACAAGTGGAAGCCATATCAACATAAGAATGGGCTTTGTTTTTTCAATCAGCCGTTGCAAACACCTGCTTGTCTGGTAGAGCGGCCTTTTAATATTTATTTACTCTTTGCCCATACGCCAACATCCCGGCGTTACGACCTCACTCTACATATCCTATACGTTATAAAACCTCTTAACTGAATAACAATGTCGGTAAATGGGACTTGTTTGTGGAAACTGCGTTGCAGTGCAGCGGACGCTGTCTGCTTTTGAGGTCGCATTATTGTCCTTTTATAGCGCGGAAGGCGGATGGCCATGAGGCATGAGGCCACAAGCGAACCGCTCTGGGATTCTAACGGAACCGCGCTTTTTTTTTTAATCGTCTCCACCGATTCTGTATTGTTTTTTTTCTTGTTATCTGTTACACTCCGAAAAATTCACAGTGCTATCCGTTAACCAAATGAAATAACCGATAATAACGACTCGGGACCAGATTGCGTTGTGTTTGTTATGGTTTCGAGTCGTTGGTTGCATATTTTTATGTCGTATTTTTATTCTGTCCAAGAATATAACTACAAAATGTTAAATAGTTAACAAAAAATAAGCAAAAACAACAAATTAATAGTTTTACTTCTACGAAGAATATTTGATTGTTGTCTCTTGAAATGGCGTTCAAAGGAAACAAATCCTTTGTTAATTTATTGATATTATGATGATTTTTTTTATTGTATTTATAACAATAACATTTTAGGATTCGTCTTTTAAGAAATCATTGTATAAGCAAGATCTGCAGATTACTCGTTAGTTGTCAATTCGTCGAACGGTTGTCTTTTTGTAACATTCTCCCATCACCGTTCGATAGCAAAGAAAAAACTGTTACAAGCACTTAATGGAAGAGGAATACTTTGTTCATTTCTTTTAACAGTAATTTTATATAGACTTTTATAGAGATTTTTGTCTGTAACAAGTTGAATTATTTTTATTGTGGTTTAAGTTTGGCCGGTTAACTTACATTTTGAATGCTGAATAAAATAGTATTCATTGAAATGTTTATTTAATTGACACTGTTCATAAAAAATTAAAAACACAATTAAACTTTTAATTGATTTTTAATGTAACATTAATCTTCCTTCACTATACAAATCGTTAGTTCTCTGAAAATTTTTATGAGTCGCAAAATATTTTTAAATGTAAAAAAAAAGAAATAATCCATGGCCTCTTTTATGTCACCGATAAATCTCATCTGAAAATAGTCTAGCCATAAACAAACTTCATTTGTGACTCACACGATAAACGTATTGTTTTATATCCAAAAACAATCACGCTTTTTTTTCAACCGATTTCAAAAATGGAAGAGGTTTCTCAATTCGAGTGTTTTTTTTTGTTACCTCGGAACTTTCGACTGAGTGAACCGATTTTAATTATTCTTTTTTTTATTTGAAAGCTGCTGCATCCCCTCATCGTTGCATCAGGATCATTTCATTGGTATTGGATTTTGGGATTCCGGAGAAACGAAAGGAACTCCTGAAAATCAATTATAGAATGAATACAGTGTGAGATAATTGAAGTCAGTTTTGTTTTTCGTTAATAAAAAAAATTACTTGTTGCAAACATACAATACAATCGAATTGAGAACCTCCTCCATTTTTGAAGTCGGTTAAAAAATTTGCTTGTTTGTTGGACCGTTCACTGTTGGCCTTTAGGAGGCCTTTACAGATCCACCGGTGATAATCAAGTTTATCGCCAAGGGGATTAGGCAGGCAAAAATGCCTATTGTACATTCGTTTTCCATTTAAAAAGTTTATCCTGTTTCGCCACACTCTTTCGCCCCGCCAAGCCTCAAGACCGACACGGCGACTTTTTGTCATGTCATCGCCGAGGCGTGTCAGGTTTTTCTGCCCAGTCGAAACGAGCGGGTTCCGCGGGTTTACTGTTACCCGCTTTCGCTCCCTGTGCCGCGCCCGCGGAAAGGGTCATACGTGGACGCATACAAACCCATCGGTTCGTGACGTATGTCCCATTTGAGGCGATGCGGTTCATAAGCGTCGTGATGAGGGAATGCCTCGGTCTGTAGGCTCTGCGCTCTGGCATTTAGAGCGATAATCGCTTGACAGCGCTGCGGAGGTTTCTACGGGTCGACGCTTCTGCATCGGAGCAATCGGAGCTCTCGCGTTTCAGCGTTCTCGATGTGCGGCGCGGGTTACGGTTTTATCATCGAGAAAGTCGATCCGACGCAGTTTGGTCCGCTAAATGGGCTTTCATAACTAAAGTGTGTTCAAAAAAAGAACACCGTTTGCTGTGCGATTCCTATAGTCGTTTTATTTTTCTTTCGAATTCTAGTTTCCGAACGGTAGTCTTTGTTTTCTAACAAAGAGCGCGCGATTTGAAACGTTCTACGATATTGTAAAATATCGGCATAAAGATTGTGTATGTGCATATTTTTGTGAAGCATTTCACGGCCATAGATTTGATTGATATGACAAACACATTATTGGATATGTAACATAATGTAAATAAAAACACTTGCATGTTGATCTTGCACGACTAGTCACTCATTTTAGATGTACTAATTATTAAAAATATAACGCCATTAATTTGTGATCACCTCTAACCCACGGCCATTTTCATAATTTGTGGCGATAAGCACATTTCAACGAGCGTTCAAAGCTTCCGTGGTCAAGTGCCTCTTTAATTTGCATATGATTGGGGGGGGAAAAATCGCCTCCAAATAATGCCAATGATGCATTTTTCATTAAAAAAAAAAAACTAATTCAATTCTATTCAAGCAGCTATCATATGTGCTCTCTAATTTAGCTACGTCTCGTGAACGTATCTGTGTATGAAAGATGAAAACTTTGAACGCTCATTGTATAATACCCGAAAAAGAAAATTAACACTCGTGAAATTTATATACAGCGTGTCGTTACCATCGCGACAATAAATGAACACACGTCTAACGCTACTTGCCAATAATCATAAAAAAATATTAACGTTAAACAAAATCCATAATTAAAAAAAAATATTTTTTTCAAACAAACTAATTAATTTAAAAAGAAACAAAATTTTTAACAACTCGCGCCACAGCGTCGTATTACAAGCCTCTCTGTCTAACAGTATGTTTTGTCTTTTTTAAATTCATTCAACCCATTCATATGCTTTGTGACCTTTACAAATGAACCTTACGTTACGCTTTTATAGGTAAGGGTGTTCAAAAAATTCTTTGTTTTGGAAAATTTAATAACTCTGTAAATATTGATGTTTATAGAATTTAAATGTTTAATACGACTTTAAAAAGTTATCTCCTATATGTGTGTTCATTTATTGTCGCGATGGTAACGACACGCTGTATATAGAGGTCACTTGTAAAGATTCCTTCGACCACATTTCGACGCAGACGAGCGTTGAGATCGCGATAAATGAACCGAACGGTTTTTGCGCCAGTCGCTGGTCGGAAGCTCACCACCGCCGGCAGACGGGTGCCCAGCGGGGGCGGAGGCCCGCTGATGAAGTCCCAGACCCTGCCGAGGTCCATGGGCCGCTCGTCGTCGCAGCCGAACAGCTCCAACGGCGGCTACGGACGGTACCCCATGAAGCCGGCCTCAACACCACCGGCGGTGAAGCGGCAGCTTTCGGTGAGTTTTATCAACCTAGCTATTGTAAGCTTCGACATCGTTTCTGTCTTTTAAAAGTGAAAGTATTTTAGCCCAATGCTGGGCAAAAGCCTCCTTCGTACAGAGGTTAGTAGAGCATAGTCTATATCTTCGGAATATTTTTTTCTTATTATTTCGAAAACATGCATGGTTACATACATGGTTTCCTCATGACGTTTTGCTTCACCGCTGAGCACGTATCATATACCACGGCCTCGCAGAATACTAGCGTATAGATGAAGAAATATTAAACTGTTGTCTTTAAATGCGCGGGGTTAATATGCTGGCAACTCGACACAATATGTCCCCGGCACACATGTATAGATGTACCCGGTTCAAAATTTCACTTAAAAATACGTCTGTACAACTTGACGTAATAATCTTATATATATTTAACTACAATATTTAATATATTATATTCATGCGAATACTGCAAACTGCATCTCGTGCTCTGCACCCGTTTGTATTCCTGGTGTCGATAATCGACACCGCATGGACGAGCGACACGTGTTTCGCTTGTCGGTGTAATGGCGGATTGCACTTCGGTCAACCGCAGTTCGTCGGTGGTCGACCCGGTGGGCTCGATTTCCCTCCCACTAATGGTTGTCGAACAGCTTCCTAAGTAGCAGCTACTCGACAACTAACCGCGTGGAGCAACAACAGCTTAAATAACGAGAGACGCGCGCGTTGCCAACCGTACTGTCGTGACAACAGGGTTGGGGATGCGACTGCAGCGCACACACACACATTGAGTTGTTAACACTGCCCTAATAGTGGGGCAGGTGTAGGAGTGGATATAACGCGAGACCCGCACGTTGCTAACCCTTTTCTTCTGGCGCGAGAATAGGGTTGGCGATGCGCCTGCAGCGCTCACGCTCAGACACGCTTGAATAATATGCAGTTTAGTATAAGCCATTAGTAATTTAGTATACAATTTCAAAATATTAATAGAAATAAATTTTGAAGGAACATAATATGTATAAAAATTTTAAATAAATACACCAATCCATAGAAATAGGTGCCCGTCATGATTATTATTATTGGTTACGTGACATTTGCATAACCTTTTTTGTAGTCTAGTCAATAGTTATAGCATCTGGATCAAGGTAGTGACTTTGAAATATATAAAACACTATATAATGATCGTATATTACGCTGTTTCCTCTGTGTGATAACAATCTCTGATAACTCTATATGTGTATTTAATGACATGTAATGCAATTATGATAAGGTAGTGAGACAGGAGCGGCCCAATGGAAATGCACCTGGTAATTTGTTAATAATCTATTTCGTTGCGTTTGTTTAAATTGTTGCATTCAAAAGGGTGTTGATTTAAATCATTTCAATCCTGACTTGTAGCTTAGTCTTGCATACGTTTAAAGGCTCTCCGGCTCCCAGTTTTAATGGAAACCGGCGTCACAGCAGTAACGACTTGTTTAACAGTGCTTTATAATATATGTAGATTAATATTCAGATAAGACCTTTATAGAAATAATAAGTTGGAAAAATTGTGTATATGATAAAAAAGGCACACTTTTCATTTTCCTTAAACTGGAATCTTAACAGATTTCAAAATAACATAATAAAATAAAGTCGAAAATAGTTTCAAAGACGGCAATCTAAACTCTTCTATTCTTCAGCCCACATGATTCTACACTTTTTCTAAACTTCTGAATGCTTTTTTCCGGCTGAATTAACTTTTCTGTTCCATTTATGAATGAAAAAATATCTTGTGCCGACGCGACGTCCTACTTTCCGTGTAGCAAAGGCATTATCTCTCTTCAAAGGAAAGAACTGTACATACTCAGTACGAATGTCGTGATGGTTGCTTCTTAGCTGTTGTGTTGCGTTCTTTTAGACACAGCCGAGTTGAATTTCTTTGTCACGCTACGAAATAGCAATAAATGGAGCACGATTGTAAAGACCCGTTTTATGTGTTTAAGGTATTAGATCCATCAGTTTTTTAACATCGATATATATTGTTTGTGGGATTGTGACAGGGGGAGCATAACTCGGGTAGCGTTATTAATATTCGGAGTACACTGGCTGAATTGATTGATTGTGGATGCTTCGTTTACGTATATAACACGCTTCCTTTGTACAAAGTCGTTGGCATTTTTTTTTATGCGAAAAGTTGTCACACGAGCAGACGGTTCACCTGATGTTAAGTGAATACCGCCGCCCATGGACATCAGCCATACCCGAGGGTTACAGATGCGTTGACAACCTTTTGAAAATTGGGCTCCGGCTACCTCACTCACCAGACGAAACGCGAAAGTATTTGTCATACTTCCACTTTACGCTGGTCTTCTGTGAGGTCGTGGTACTTACCCGGACGGGCCTGCCCATTCGTGCAACAGCCGAGGCTGTTGCGTGGCCCTACCACCGTGCGCACCTATTGGGCATATGTAGATGAGTCGGTGGCGCCGTTGCTAAGCTATTGGCTTCGGCGTCGGGATCGTGGGTTCGACTCCCATACGGGACAAGTATTTGTGTGACCCACAGATAATAGTTACATATCTGGGTGTTTGTCACAAGGAGGGTCAGGCAGGCGGCCGGTCGTAAAAATATGACCAAAACCAAATCGCTTACAACACGATTCACATGTCTCGACCTCACCTTTGTGGGGTAAGGGCAGGATGGTGATGATTATTATGATTATTTGGCATATATTAATAAACCATTCCAAAGTTTGTAAATATAGTCTTTTGCTTATATCTAAGAAACAATAACAGTTTACAACAAGTACAAGGGATAAAATAACCATTTTTTTACTAACGAAAAACAAAACCGAGTTCATATATGTCGCTCTGTATTCATTTTATAATTGATGTAAGTAAGTATCTCCGGAACCCAAGATCAAATACCATCAAATACCGCACAATGGCAATTAATGCACCAGCTTTCAAATAAAACAAGAATCATCAAAATCGATCCACTCTGTCGAAAGTTTTGATGTAACAAACATAAAAAAAATACATTCGAATTGAGAACCTCCTCATTTTGAAGTCGGTTAATAACAAATTTCTAGATAGCTAGGGGTCTGTTCCGACGCGAGACATTTGAAAAGTGAACGAGATTTAGAAATAAGTAATTCTGAATATCGAACATGGCTCGTATCTTAGGGGCAGTTCCGTTAGCTCCGGGCCGGAGGTTCTTTTCCCACACGGAACAAGTATTTATGTGAACCACGGATCATTCCGGATTTTGATGTTTATTTCGAAGGAGGACTGATAAGTTGGCGGGCGGCTGGTTGTAAAAAACATAGCCAATTCCAAATGTCTGCCCAACATGATTCAAATGTTGCCGACCGCATTTAGGTGGAATAAGGGCAATAAAAACAACGACATTGATTATCTATGTGCTATCCAATTATTGTTAATGCACCGAGGGTCGATAATATGTCAAACAAAACCTAGTTACAAAACACGATCCTTAATATATGTATTTGTATTTGACTTATTCCCCTAATGATAAAAACAGATGTTATCGCGGTAAAAGCGAGTAGCTCAGAGAATAAAAGCCAATTCATATACATTATCAGCTTTGAAATGACTAATTTTGTAACGGAAGGGTAAAATCCAACGACGGGATGTTCGAAAATCATACTACTTTCCGTGACGATGACGCCTTTGTCTCATTCCATATGCCTCTAACTGGCAACATAGTAGACTTTTTCGTTTTTTTTTCTTACAGCAATTAATGAGAATGAACCGTATATATTATTTTACCATCAATTGAACGACGACCCGAAGGGCGTAGTTGGTAGTGTACCTGCCTCCTGCGCCAGAGGGTGTGGGTTCGATCCCCACTACTGGAAAAATATCGTGCGATGAACATGGTGTTTTTCTAGTGTCTGGGTGTTTCTATATGTATAATATGTATGTATTTACAAAAGAAAAGTATGTTTAAGTATGTTTATCAGTTTTCTAGGACCCATAGTACAAGCTTTGCTTAGTTTGTGACTAGAAAATGTTGTGTACAAATGTGTCCTAAAAATTTATTTATTTATTAATTATGTTTGTCTGTTAATCAGACGCACGTACGCGCCTCAAATCGTAAGATATGGCCGAACGCACTCTCGCGTTACAATGTTTATTATATGGCTAGTTTTTTTGTACTTTCATGTATTTTCTTGAGAGCGCTCACCTGTTACGGTCCACGATGAAATTTTCCGATCGTTACTGGAGGATTTCATCTACGTTGCGACATTTTCTGATAAAACTGTTTTAAAACTATATCAAGGGTTAATTGAGACAACAGCTTTTTTCGTTTTCGTTTACCTTTATCTGCTGTAGTGCCTCTCCAGTTACTGAAAATTATAGCTCTGTATTCTGTACAAGGATCTCTATGTATGTCATGGAGTATATACATTTACTTGAAGTATATACAACTACTATACGCTACTACCCTCCTCTCCACAATACTTGCACCTCACCGCTACTACCCTCCTCTCCACAATACTTGCACCTCACCGCTACTACCCTCCTCTCCGCCGATTAATTTACTATAGTTCCACTACACAACGTCACACAGGTCTAATAGAGGTATCACAGTTCGCATGACATTTGCGAGTACTCTCACGACTTCATGAAACTCGGGTATGATACAAATACCATGCACCTAACTGTTCTCCGCTAAAGCTGGGTTTACTGAGGCAACATTTGTCATGACTGTTTCACATATGCAGGGCCGCCAAAAGTGCGACATTTCTCATCTGTTCTCACGTCCAGGGCGGCTATCAAGTGCCCGTGAACGGATCGCCCGTTCGCCGGGCGGGGTCGCAGCGCGGCACCCCTACGCGCAGCCGGACCCCACAGCCGCTGAGCGTGCGCGGCGTCGACCCAAAGCTGGTGCAACTCATCCTCGACGAAATCATAGAGGGCGGGCCCAAGGTGCACTGGGACGACATCGCCGGCCAAGAGGTACGTAGTTTTGTACCACCCGAAGGCGTCACCTTCGTTGTCAAGTTGACCACTTATCGGGTTGGAAAGGACAATGCTTTCTAAGCATCATATTGGTTATGTCGTTTCGAGTTATTATGAGTGGCAAAATCTACTGTTTACAAACATCGATACCTAATGTATGATACATATGAAATAGTCGTAAAATTGGACTGCATTGTCGGGTATTCCTTGTATTTATTAATGTTGTTGCCAAATGACAATATCTCACAATCTTTTACGAAACACGTAAGAGATAGGATTTATTTATAATTATTGTCATTTATAGTGTTTGTTATGTGTATGATTGTCACCCAATCAGCCTCTATGACAAAGTAACGGAGCAAAGATGGTTTGTAATCGCGTACAATAATACCAAATCATGTCTCTCTGGGATCCAGGTATACTTCTTTTACAGAAATGTAATACTCTCATTGCTACACTATATTCCAATCCATACTCTGACGTCATCATGACCATGTTCATCTGTTTACAAATATTCAAGCGTTTGGTACACATTGTGCGCTCAAATAATACACGTATCTTGCACTACCTGCCGTCTGATTACACATTTTAAAAGTTCCATGTTATTTTCTACCTATCGTTTGCAATACATAACTGAATCGAAAATGTTACTACTGTTCTTGACACATCAATTTAGTGCAGTAAATGACGCGATATTATCTTAAACGTCTGCTGAAAATCATGAAGATTTGAAGATTGTTAAGCATCAAAATTCAAGAAGCAATTCTTTCCAATGGTTTTTTTTACTTCAGACATTCCGTTTTTAATGTAGGTCGTGTCATTAAACGTTTCGAAACCTAAAGACTAGATTGGATATCTTATCTCACGCTGTCTAGCGAAGTCAATGTACGACACAATTTGAAAGGGAAAGAAAATTTCACTTTCTCAATGGAGGATTACTTATCAATTTGTACAATGAAATATTAAAAAAGTGAGACGTCAATGGATTTCCGTTCTTAGAACTTATGTCGTCGACTTGATTAGGAGGACGACGACATGTCTCATCGGACAAACGACCTGTTGAAAAGTGAGCTTAGACGGGACAAATAACAAGCTCTGCAAGTTACAAGACCATTAGCGGTGTCAAGATTACGTGTGTCTTTCTACGTTTGCCACGGACTGGAGCGACGTAAGCCTCTTAGAGGCTTCGCTATTTGCCACGCTCGGCTTTCGAGCACACCGCAATTTGAGCAACGAACAATAACTGGCTTCCTGACTGACACGGCTCAATTTAAAATGGTAGCCTAGTTAAGAATATAATGAAAAATATTTTTAAAGTTCATCCACTAAAATGGGCTAGAGTCTGTTATTAACCGACTTCAAAAAAGGAGGAGGTTTCTCAATTCGACCGTATATATATTCTTTTTTATGTGTGTTCGTGGATAAACACTACTCTTTATGAACCGATTTTGATGATTCTTTTTTTGTTGGAAAGGAGATATCCCAAGGGTGGTACCATGATAAGGAAACCCGGATCTGATGGTAGCATCCCAGAGAAATCGAGTACCATCATTGAATGTTATAGGTATTAACAATGTTTTTAATTTCCTGATTGAAGTCGATTTTTTTTCTACAATCCTCGAGGTATTTCCTTTGCGGTATGAAAGTATTGGTGTTGGCTGACCCGCACGCACACGCGTCCGTGTATACGTGCAACACCCAACACACACACGGGAACGAGAGGGTTCGACGCACTCAGTAAAAGTAGGAGCTACATGAAATTCCGAAAAAAACGACCGAATCTTTGCATTTTTGGATGAATATTTAATTATATTCTTTTAAATAGAAATAATAGTTTGGCTTCTTTTTAAAAAAGCAATTATCGCTTTTTTAAAAAGAAGCCAAACAACGTAGAGTTTAATAACAGTTCTAAGTAACCGACACGATCGTTATTAATTCGGGTAGAGCTTCCGCACTCTACAACGGCTCACGAGAAACTCCCCCGAATACGGCGAGCGCTGTTACTTATACAGACCGTTGCAGTGTGATACCCTCCTATCTTCAAACAATATAATATTTATTCTTGCCAATGAAAACCGATAGTAATGGCAATGTTGTTAAAGTCGAAATTGGATTAAACGTGTTTGAGTATAAAAAGTGTGTGTGTGTTCCAGGCTGCAAAGCAGGCGTTGCAGGAGATGGTGGTCCTTCCATCGCTCCGACCGGAGCTCTTCACCGGTCTGCGGTCGCCAGCGAAAGGCTTGCTGCTCTTCGGCCCTCCGGGGAATGGTAATTCCTACCTTATGTCGTGTGTATAAAGTTCATTTCCTAGTAAATATTACATCAGTTGCCCCACAAATAATTTATGTTGCGAAAGCGAGTAATTGTGATTCGTTTGGTCCTAAATAAAATTTTATTAATAACTAGTTGTGCCCGCGACTTCGTTCGCGTGGAAGTTAAAATAAATTAAATTTCAAAATTAAACATTTATTAGCGTAAATTACTCCTTATCATATCAGCTATCTGCCAGTGAGAGTCCCTTCAAAATCGGTGAAGCCGTTCCAGAGATTAGCCGGAACAAACAGACAGACAGCCGGACAAAAATTATAAAAAATATTATTTTGGTATATGTACCGTGTAATATATATAAACCTGCATATTTTCGAAATAATATAAAAAAATATTTTCGAAGATATGTGAAGACCGCCAATCCGCAGTGGGGCCGCGTGGTGGACTACGCCCTGATACCCTCTGTATAGAGGAGGCCTTTGCCCAGTTGTGGGACATGTATTGTTACTTTACTTTTTACTTTTATACATCCTATATGTAAAAAGCTGTTTTTTAACATTACAAACGGACCCTCAATTTTATCTATCTGTATTGATTTAAGTTATCCATTCAATTACTTATTATAACTTTTCCGTTTTCCTCTGCAGGTAAGACTCTGCTAGCACGCTGCGTGGCGGCGGAATGCTCTGCCACCTTCTTCTCTATATCTGCCGCGACTCTGACCAGCAAGTACGTTGGCGATGGGGAGAAGATGGTACGCGCTCTGTTCCAGGTCGCGAGGGAGCTACAGGTATGGACGTCACTAGGACGATGAGCTTGACCACGGCTTCGGCTAGGGAGGCTGTCATGGGAAACACTTGGTACCGCATGGTTTGAGACGAGCTGGCTAGGATGTTGTGTAAGACCAGGTGGTAACTTGGTACCGAATGAGACGAGCTGATACGGTCACGAATGGGCTGGTCCGTCCGGGTGAGTGCAGCGACTTCACAGAAGACCGGCGTGAAGTAGAAGTGTCATACTTGTGCATTTCGTCTATAGAGTGAGGTAGCCAGGGCCCATATTATTCAGAGGTGGCAACGCATTTGCAAACCTACGGGTGTTGCAAATGTCCATGGGCGGCGGTTATCACTTAACATCAGGTGAACCGCCAGCTCGTTTGCCATTTTCTCACATAATGAGAGCTACATTACTTTCTAAGTTTTGTATGTATCTATTGTGATTAGACAGTGAATAAACGTTTCTTCTTCTTCTTCAGCCGTCGATAATATTCGTGGACGAGGTGGACTCGCTGCTCTGCGAGCGGTCTTCCGGGGAGCACGAGGCCTCACGGCGTCTGAAGACTGAATTCCTGGTGGAGTTCGACGGTCTACCGGCCGCGGGAGCCGACAGGCTCATCGTGATGGCGGCCACCAACCGTCCCCAGGAGTTGGACGAGGCAGCGCTCAGGTATAGGACATATTTTTATTGAAGAACATTATTTAGTCGCTAACTAAGCAACGCTTGTACTATGGGCACTAGTTAACTGATAAACATACTTTTCATTTGTAAATAAATACATATTAAATACGCAGACACTGGAAAATACTGTTCCTACAAAATGTTTTTCCAGTAGTGGGATCGAACCCACACCCTCTGGCGCAATAGGCACATTCATCATCCACTGCGAGAATCGCGCTTAACTCAAATGCGTCACTGTACTTTATTCAATTCACGGTGCAGTACGCAGTTAATGTGCGTCGTAGGGGCTACGAATTCCCGACTTTCTCGCTCCCATGGCAATCTAAACCGCGTAATGAAGAAAATCTTGAATGTTTCATTTTTTTTATGTTAGAAGGTGGCAAGTGAGCTGGCTGAACACCTGATGTTAAGTGATAATCGCGGCCCATGGGCATCTGCAACTCCCGTAGGGTTGTTTGCATGCCGCTTACCGATGCTTACCGATGTTTAAATAACGTGGGCCCAGGCTACCTCACTCCTCAGATGAAAGGCAACGAAGTATGACACTTCTACTTTACGCTGGTCTTCTGTGACGCCTTGGCACTTACCCGAACGAGCCTGCCCATTTGTGCGATAAAGCTGTTGCGTCACCCTACCACATTAAAGAAGTTTGGACTTTGGTAGTCGGATCAATTTTGTTCCGCTATAATGAGCACGTGACGCTCTGTTCACTGCACCTGTGCAAAACTCGGCTGCCATGTAATTCAGTCCGGGGTCAAACGCCCCGCCGTTGTGCAAAGCTCGGCGACCGCATAGTTTGGGTCCGAGGACAACGTCCCGCCGGCGTGCAAAGCCCGGCCGCCGCATATCTAAGTCCGGGGTCAACGCCCCGCCAGTGTGCAAAGCTCGACCATCGCATACTTCAAGTCCGGGGTCAACGCCCCGCCGGTGTCTAAAGCTCGACCACCGCATGGCTAAGTCCGGGGTCAACGCCCCGCCGTTGTGCAAATCCCGGCCGCCGCATAGCTAAGTCCGGGATCAACGCCCCGCCGTTGTGCAAATCCCGGCCGCCGCATAGCTAAGTCCGGGGTCGACGCTCCGTTGGCGTGCGCAGGCGTTTCCCGAAGCGCGTGTACGTGTCGCTGCCGGACGCGCGCACGCGCGGCGCTCTGCTGCGGCGCGTGCTGGCGCGGGGCGCGGCCGCCGCGGCGCTCGGCGACGACGAGCTCGCGCGCCTCGCCGCGCTCACCGACGGCTACTCGGGCAGCGATCTCACCGCGCTCTGCCGCGACGCCGCGCTAGGACCGATCAGAGGTGCGTGCCGCTCCCCCTTCCCGCCCCCCCTTCCTCCTCCGCTGCGGTGTACGCTCCCGCCAGCTTCCTCGCCACTCCAGAAGTGGACTGTGGCCTTGTGTCGGTGGTCCCTTCAGATTCCTCGATTCGCAGGTTCGAATCCCGCCGCGCCGCAAAATCATTTTTTTTTTATGTGAAAAGTTGCCAAACGAGCAAACGGTTCACCTGATGTTAAGTGAATACCGCCGCCCATGGACATCTCCTACATCCGAGGGTTACAGATGCGTTGACAACCTTTTGAAAATTGGGCTCCGGCTACTTCACTCACCAGAAGAAACGCGAAAGTATTTCTTATACTTCCACTTTACGCCGGTCTTCTGTGAGGTCGTGGTACTTACCTGGACGAGCCTGCCTATTCGTGCAACAGCCGAGGCTGCTGCGTGGCCCTACCACCGTAATTTCCGATAATTTCGTCTATTAAACTCACGTTTCAAATTGAAACGCGACTTCGTCCCCGTCTCAGAGTTGGACCCCGAGGAGGTGAAATGCCTGGACCTGTCGCTGGTCCGCAGCATCACATTCCAAGACTTCATGGACTCGCTGAAGAGGATCCGGCCGTCCGTCTCGCCGCACAGCCTCGTCGCATACGAGAAGTGGTCCGTTCAATACGGCGAGTTGGGGGTTTGAATACAGGTTATAAAAAATTTAATTTTATATCCAGTTTTATAGTGCTAATTCTCTGCAGTTAAAATGAAACATTGAAATTTATAGACAAATGGACGAAAAGTTTTTCGCCAGAGTCTTGCGACGAGAAGGTGGCTAGCGAGCTGGCGGCTTACCTGACGTCAAGTGATAACCGCCGCCCATCGACATTTGCAACACCCGTGCGGTTGCAGATGCGTTGCCACCTTTTAATATATTGCGCTCCGATTCACTCACTCACCAGAAGAAACGCAGAAGTATAACACTTCCACTTCACGCAGGTCTTCTGCGAGGTCGTGTTAATTCCCCGGATGGACTGCCCATTCGATCAACAGCGAAGCCTGTTGCGTGGCCCTACCAGCCTCGTATCGGCCATCGTAGTTTAGGATGACCTCCCACTAGATGGAGTGACGACCTGTGCAATTATGCGGGAAGTCGATGGATGCAGGTGGTTCAGGATCTTGCCTCGTGGCAGTCTGTGGGGGAGGCCTATGTTCAGCAGTGGACTCAAACATGCTGCAATGATGTTGATAATGATGAATCTTAACGGATATGCAGATATTAACAAACCAAGTGTTAATGGACACGTCTCAATTATGAGAAGCACTCTGTGCTGGTTACTGCTTGTACCACCACACCTTAATGTCAATGTGTGATGGATGAGCTTATGTCTATTGGATGGCGGTTAATAATGTCAAGATAAATCGACCGGTGTCGCTGAATGTTTTTACTGCACTAAAAAATATTTAAATTATAACTACGAAGTAAAGTATAAAACTAGGTCGTGTGTGCAGTTTTGTTATACAATAGAAAACGTACCGCTTTGCCGGAACGAAACAGATGCTTGCTTAATGCATAACTTAATGTTTGCTTAAAGAAATATTAGCAACCTTAGAGCGTACGTAAACGAGCTTTTGAAACATTGTTTTTGTCCCTTTCAGGTATATACTGCATAAAGGGGTAAGTGTGTGTTTTATACGGGATCCACGATTTGCAATTGTCAAGGATGTGAGAGTTGAAGACGAAATTGCCGCGACACGACCGGAGCGTCAACCAAACACGTCCGCAGAACGCTAGGGCCTTGCCGTCACAAGCGAGAGTCGTTAAGTTGATAAGCACTTTGTTACTTTGTTCTAGGTGGAACTGTGTTATCCAGTCACTCGGTTGATTTGTTTTTGTATCGATATAACCAAACCCCTACAATAGTCTAGTCAGTACCGATCAGCCTCGACAGAGTGGTTTTTGTTGTTTTTTTTTTTTTTTTTTTGAGTTTATAAATTAACCGCGATATAACGGCCATATACGAATGTAGTGGGGAAGCAATAAAGTAGTGACGAAAATTAGCAATATTAGACAATACATTCTGTCCTTACTAGCTTCATTATCTGTGGAGTGGACTCTGTATCCATTCTGGCGCGACAATTTAGCTGACTGAGTAAGTTTATGGGAAGTGTGTTAATATGTCGGCTTTTTTTATTACATGGTATTCTTTTTTTGTATTTTGTGAAATGGACTCACGCGATTGTCTTTCGAATAAAATAACTGAATAGTTTTCTTGTTCTAAGTAAGTCCTTTACGTTCCTTATTAGATAGGTTCGTACCATCAATTTTTTTTAAGAAATTAATAATTTTACGAACATTGGTGGAAAAAGTATTACAAGTTAATGAACAATTAAATGTGACCGAATGCACGAGAAATTTCGTTCTTAATATCCATTGTATTTTAGTTTTCCATTAAAACAAACGTGTACCACAGATAATAGCAGTAAATATATCGATATTCCTAATGTACCTATGGATAATAGTAATGTACCTATGGTCAGATGGTACCTACTATGATACCTAAGGACGGATAAAATTATGAATTTCCAATTGAATCGATGCATTTATTTATTCCAAATCTATAAAATTATTTTTAATCTTACGAATTTAAAGAATTTATTGACAATTGTCAATTTTTTTTAAATATGAATTTATTTCGGTGTGGGATTGGTTTGGAGTGTGCGTTTGTTTATAACAACAATAAAAGTTAATTAATTTAGCTAAATTGAAAATGAATATAGCAAATTGTTTTAACCGTTCATGTTTAATCGATTAGATTGTGTTTGATCGCGATCAGTTTGTTGTTACCTTATTTTATTATTAATTCTAGTTGTGTTAATTTTGTTTTTTTTTTTTTAATTATTATTTATAACTTACCAGCGCTATTTAGTCGAATGCGGCTAAAGACAGTCCTGATTACATTTTAACTGTATCCCTGAGACTATGAAGTACCGTTTAAAAAAGTCTCTCAAATTATGCACGCGTCTGAATGGTGACTGTATTTATACTATATGAACGGGTATTATATAAAGACAATTTTTGCTCACGATAAACGAAAAGCCGACAGACATTTTACAGAAAGTGCGAATGATATTTTTAATAAAAAGTTATTGAGGCGCGCGTTCAAAGGGTTAAAAGTCAACCAGCACAAGATGGGGCGTTTAATTTAAGGAGAGAATGTTTCTTTAAAATGTAGATACGTTTAATTTGAGGTGATTTTTGTTAAGTTTTAATGTGAAGTTGGCCTCCAGAAAAATTCTTGTCCGAAAGTTATTGATTAGATCTAACTGTTGTGTAGTGTTCGAATTTTAATTAAAAGATAAAAATAAATTGAATATTCTCGATCTCTGTCCCCTGGATGTGTTGTTGTGTAGTGATTTTACAAACGCGCAAAATCTTTTTAATATATGTGTGTTTTATATGCTGTTTTAATTATTGTGGTCTGTTCACGATTGAACTTATTTTCGCTAACAACTCGTCCGCCCCTAAGTACATTATCAAATCTGAAAAAGGCTATTTGATGATTTATGATTGTAATTTTTTGGTGATAATATTAAATTGTTGTCAGAATGGAGCCTACGCATAGAAAGACATTGCAAAATTCAACTTCCAAGTATAATAATGTGGCCATTTTCAGATTCGATAGGGGCAGTCGAATTTAAGTTTACAATATGCAACCATCGATTCTAAGCTTAACAATATTATGTTTTGCACAAAAAGCATTACTTCTATAAAGTAACAGACATGGCGATTTTTATACCGTGCTATCTCTAATAATTATTATGTATACAAAACGCTTTTCAAGAATTCGAAATCCATTGGTTGTTATATCAACGCATTTAGTGTTAAGGAAGTTATTAACCCGATCTGTTCGTATTTATACGCTGTACTGGCTAGGGAGATTGCTTACTTAGATTTTCTTTTAGTCTGGCAGTCATCCATCTTGATAACACGTTTGAGTGCGAAGTTCTACGAGAAATGTCATAATTCCCTACGGTTTTCTCGTTTCCAAACAAGCATGCTGTTACCGGTAGCTCTAGGAAACACTCCACATCAAGTCGTTCTTCGTAGCACGGATGGCAACTTGGGAATTTTCTTCCTAGATATAGTAAGAAACAATTTAAAATGGAGGTTTTGTTGGAGGTAAATTCAATCGAAAACTTCCTAAATGTTTCTCATTTTGGAAGGTTTGGTTTGAATTTAGTGAGTTTTAGTGGGTGTTTGAATTGCTTCAGGTTGTAGTTGGTAACACTGCTTCTTTGTAACGCAGTAATGTCCTGATGAATTTTAGTATAAATGAAAAACTCTATATCGAGAAAATTTGCATTCATCGCGCGACATATACGCTTCGTTTTGCAAAGGTGTTGCCAAGAATAATATTTTACCTACCTCAGCCAACAATGAGTCTGCCGGCGAGTAACTTAAATGAACACGCATCGAAATCGCCTGTGTTTTTTTTTAGAAGTCGAAATCTCCTTTGCCTAGCCATAGACGTAGGTTTAGTGGATATTTTAGTCTTAATACCTTGCTCAGTAGCCCGTATAACTTAGTAGATAGAAGATAATAACCGATTTGATGGGGCGTAATATGATTTCCGATGGTTAAATAGAAATATAATTGATAATAGTAATAGTAGTTGCTAAATACTCTAGCTTTTTATACAGTTACATTTCATTCTGTACTTCTTACTGTAGATCTTATAAGTATAGTCTTTAGTTTTAAAGAAGAATAGTTAATCTTTGGATCACTTACACAAATATCTTCTAAACTGTGCGTATTCTAACTAGGTTTAACCATTTGCTTCTGTTCATTACGATGATAAATATCTCTTTCGTATTTCTTCATAAATTTACGTCAATAATTCTCAAATGTACTTTTCATCAATAGTTAACATTGTACTGTAGAGAAGACAGCGAGCCGTCAACAACAGTGTTATTTGTGTTTGGTATTTTCTACTCCGATGAAAAAAATATTTATATAAATAGTAATATTCAAACAATCACGTCATTCTAACCCTTTTAAGATGTCAATGCATTCGCCATTATTTGTTTTTGACTAGTCACTTCAGCGTGTTCGCGCCAACACGTAAGATCAGTGTTGCTATCTTACATAGCAGTTTAATTTCTTTTTTCCTTTCAATGGTATGTTATCAAAAAAATGTAACAATATAAATAATCACTTGGTTTTATTAAATAGTTCTTATAAAATATTGCTATTTCATAAAAATTGTACAACTGTGAAGTGTTTTTGTTAACGTTTCTTATTAAAATTAAATTATTAATCGGTCGTTATGCCAATTTTTTATCTGTATTATTTAATGTTTTAATTGAAATTAAAATTTTGTATGTTTGTGTGTTCGTTATTTTCTTATGAAATCAATTTTCTCTAGTTTGTTATGATATTAATTGAACAATGTTTAAATAAATAAAAGTGTGAAGTGATGAAATTTTGCACAAAATTTTCACTGTCTTGTACGAATTTTTAACTTTTCTAATCGAATATTAAAATAATCTTTGCATTTTAAGGAAATAAAAATGTTAATTTTATCACGCTTTTGCGTCAGTTACTGTCCGTTTCTGTAAAGCGGCGGGAAAATGTGTTATGTTCTGGCTGCTTTATTGAAATTAAGGTTAATCCTCAGACACCTTTACATATCGTTAAATGTAACGTTGTAACTACACGGTGATTACGTTAATTCTAAGAAGGTACGGAGCAAACATAATTTCTTACATATATCTTGGATTGAGTTGAAATAAGTAACAAAACTTGTATATGTGACGTTGTGCAATTCACTAAGTATATTACCCAAGTTATATCTAATACCACATAAGTGACTCAAACACTTCTTTTACTTTCTCTCGACACCTTAAATAATTTTATATGTATATTTAATACCCTTAGAAGGCAATTCCTATTCATAGCGTCAAGCCCTTTTTTAACATTTATTTAAGAACATAATACACTTACGCATTTTGGGAATTGCCATTTAAGATGTATAGTTAATATTAACCTGTTTGCACAAAATTTGTAACATTGCCTTAATATGTTTCAAACTGCTTGTTACGCATATACGGATACAGTTATGATTTAAGTATATAACGTTAAACCGCATTTCACTGTGATATTAATAACGAACCCTTTGCCTTGTCATGTAATATACGTTTTTGTATTTCAATTTTAAAAGGACCAGTCTTATATTCATTTCGTAATTATAAAGTGCGATAAAACGATACATTATAATTATCGCTCACTAATCACTAATGTTATGGAATTTATGAATTTGTTTATAATTTTTCAGAACTTGAAAAAATTAAAAAGAATCCTCGATATTATTTTTGATGTGGATTTCTTCAAAAACATCAATTTATCTATGACCTTTAAATTGGTGCTTCTACTCTTCATTATTAAGATCGAACTTATTTTTATTGACAACTTTTAATGTCACACACACACACGTGAACGTGACCTTGAACAATGCTCAACAGCCATGTGAAACTCTTGGATGATTATGGATAGTGAATGACTTTCAATATGTCCGTTATCATCCAACACTCCGAATCTGGTGTGAATATTCTAAAACGAGGTTGTAATTTACCTTCAGCACATTCGCCTTTACGCTAACAATAGTTTAGTTAAGCGCACGAATTTATGAGCTGTCTCAGTTTTGTGTAAGTCGTTGAGAGAAACAAGGGATGTATATTTTCATAACGTTCTTAGACTAATTACACTTTTGCCTAATACGTGAATGTTCACAATGTGATACACGATGTATGTGTTAATAATAAATAACTGATTTGTCAAATCTCTGTTTTATTTATCTGTGCACCCCTTTGTTTTGAAGCTATATTTTAGGCGCGCGTGCGGTATTATTATGAGAGTAATTTTTTTACGGTGCGCGCGCACACCGACCCTCAAAAATCGACCTGATGTTTATAGCAACCAATTTAATCTTGGCAACCAAAAACAACTTTTTGTCATTTACTAATGATTGCAAGATTTTTTAAATAAACCATCATCAATTGCATTTAATGTCTTTACGCTAAAGAAACTTCGTACTTACCAAGTAGAACTTCTTAGCTACATACTATTTTTTTTCTTTATCCTTTCCTCCGTCTGCCATAGTTCAGAATAAATAAATTCCTTACTATGATGGAGGTCCTATTAATTCATTTAAAAATACATTATGACGAACAAATTACTCTAACACTTTTATGAGAGCTATAATTTTACGATATCAAAAACCCAAACTTCTGCAAAGCGACAAGTTTAATTACAATTTGTTGAAGTTTTAATCGTAGCTAGATAAATGTTTTGTTTGCTAATTCCCACCTCTGTGTTCCTAAACAAAAGTAATTAAAACTAAAACTTACCTAATCAGTTTCTACAGGCGTTGTAAAGGGTGTTTATTTTAAATTATTTTCTCTAATACTAAATTGGTTGTTAAGATGCATATTTGTTTATTTTGATCTTGAATGTTCCACATTCTAATGCGAAATATGCGAAGATATGTAAACAATAAAAAACGTGGTTTCATAAACATAAAACAAAAAAAACTAGGAAGTATGTTGTACATTACAGCTTAATTAAATTCAATATTAGATGTATGGATAGCTATTAATTTTACTAAGTGTCTGTAGGAAGACATATCTTACAAAAGATTATTTTATTAAAGGAACTGAAAAAGACAAGATGTCAGCTTAATATTATATAATACCACTTAATCCCGGTACGACTGTTCCTTGGAAGAATTTTGCAAAAATGGCCACGTTCAAATTGCTCAGCTTTACCTGAGCATTCTAATCCAATTGCCACTCTTGCAAACACCGTTTATTATCTGATGAACTGAACATTTTTTTTTGTCTTTTTTGAACATTATTAATATCCTGTGTTATAAGTTTAACATGCACACATTTCACAAGGATGAAAACCCAGATGCGAAACAAATATCCGTGAAGTCACAAATACACGTCCCGTGTAGGAATGGCAATAGCTAACTTTTCCTAAACCATAATTTCTTTCTTTTTTTATGTGAGAAGTTAACAAGCTAGCTGACGATTCACAGCGATAAGCCCAAGAACATTTAAAACACTGGTAGGGTTGCACATGCGTTGCCACCTTTTAATAAAGTGAGATCGGTTACCTCACTCGGCAGACGAAACGCTGAAGTCAAAACTTCCACTTCACGCCGGTCTTCTGTGCGGTCGTGGTATTACTCCCGACTTGCCCATTTATACAACAACGAAGACTGGATATTGACATTGGAAGCTTTACGTATTCGAATTTTATATCAACCTGTATATCTTTTGTATAATCTGTAATGCAGACCGCAAACCATGAAACGACACCCATTGTGTTCGGAAACCGACAAATCTAAACAATGGCCGCGAACGGCGTGGAACTGTTTCTGAGCCGTCCCCGAAAAGTTCTAAGGGCCCTGGGAATATGGTACCCTTCGAACAGTCCGTCGCCTCTGCAACTCCTGTACACGACACTGATAGTGCTGACTCAGTACGCTTTCATACTGTTCGAGTTCATTTACATAGCCGGCGTTTGGGGAGACATCGACTCGATGTCGGAAGCCTCATACTTGCTCTTCACGCAGGCCTCAGTTTGCTATAAAGTCGCCGTGTTCATTGCACACAAAAGTAACCTGGCCGTGCTGATCGAATATATGAGAATGGAGAACTTCGCGCCAAAAACGCGGCAGCACGCGGAGTGAGTATATAATTGAGATGGATCTGAACTTATGAGAAAATTTCAATTCTATTTCAAGACGTTTGCTCATAATTTTATATGCATTTTTATACGTTATGTGAACTTTCTCATAACAATGTGTAGTACATCCAAAAAACGTACGTTCAAAAAGCATACAATATTACTACAAAAAATTTAATTTCGGCTCAAATTATTTAATATATAATAGCACTACCCTAACGTTTTTAAAATAATTTTGAAAGGAGATCATAATATTAAGGCTTCATTGTCATGAGAGTATTACATTAATCTTCAGAAGCTATTTGTTAGTGAGTTGCTAGGACATAAGGGACATCTAGCTACAAAATTTTAATGATGTAACATTTCTAGGATACTTGAAAGACTGTCACGAAAAATCAAAAGGCTGTGCATGTTTTTCTTGATTAGCGCGCTTACAACGTGCACGTTGTGGGCGCTAATGCCGCTGCTGGATAATGCTGAGGATAGATTCTTCCCGTTCAGGATTTGGTAAGGCAGCACTAGTTCGGAATAAGTAAAGCAAGGAATATTTGTTATCGTGTTCGATTAACGTTCTTTATAGAGACAAAGCCGGCACTATTTCGAAAGGCTACAAAAACTATAGGTATCAAACTCTACAATTTGCGTGGTCTTTAAATAAGTGACCACGCAAATGGAAAAAATTGCCTGCATCATTCCATTTCCAACTACAATGTGAGTGTCTGCAGTTCTTTCAAACGCAGTAGCTCACATAAAGTACATTCACCCCTATTTTTTAGTTCTCTTATTGATGTAATGTATTTATCGCCAACGTTAGCAGCACCTCTTACTAAAAACTAGTTTGGTAGTCGAGCAAATTTGTGATAATAAAGCATGTGATACGTTCTAGTCTCATTAATGCAAATGCAATTTCCATAATATACGCATGGAACCGCCGTGATAGCTCAGTGTCAAAGCGCTCCCTTTTAACTCAATGAACTCGAGCAACCTGAGTTCGTTCCGGGTGATCGGCACCAATGAAATTGTTAATTTTAAGTGCTGACTTATCACAGTGGTGAAGGAAAACATCGTGAGGATTTTCGCAATGATAACAGAAAAATATTTCGAAGATATGAATGAAGTCCGCCAATCCGCAGTGGGGTCGCGTGGTTGGCTGAACAGTGACTGTACAGAGGAGGCCTTTGCCCAGCAGTGGGACATTTATAGGCTGTTACTTTACTTTTATTTTACTTTTACGCATGGAAACACATATATGGTTTAGGATCTGCAATTGATTTGTATGTATGTAAGATGTCTATAACCGAACAATCTTATCCGGTCGGAGATAACTTTAAAAAAAAATATTTTATGCCTGCAGGATGCCCATCGGACCAGAGAAATCGCCGCAATTCGAAATTGGCTACTTGTATCAGATGGCTAGCATCTACATCAGTGCCTTCCTGTTCTTCGCCGTGGACAGCGTAACCCTCGGAATGATCATGTTTGGTTGTGCTCAACTCGAGATCATTATCAATAAGCTAGAGGCGGTATTTTCTGCATTTTTATTTCTATCGTATTAATCCTATATCGAGGAACGAATTGTACATATTTTTATAATATATACATTCGCATTAAACCACCCGCACTCACCTGGCTCCTATGGCCTCTGGCCAGCGAGGCCAAGGAAATTGCTCCCCGAGAAAGGGCTGCTGAGGCGGCCAGCGCTGGAAGGGTCGCGAAAGTGATCCCGTTGTCGGGTATGCGTGTGCTGTTCCACCTAGGCCCATATCAGATATGGGCCTAAGTGGAACATCGTGGGGGTTGTAGACGGTGCGAGTCCAACATAACCCGCTCTTGCCCCCACAAGGACCCCCATGTAAACAAAAAAAAACGTAGACATCGCAACGTGTCTCTTGTGAACCGGCGCGTCGTGAAAAAGCAAAGAAAGAAAGAAAAGTTGGAAAATAAATGTAATTACCAAAAAAGAACGCACACGAAAAAAACTAAATTTAACAAAGAATTGAATAAATTAAGCAACACACCTCGAATCCATTTTCCCCTTCTTTTTTCTGTAATGGTATTTTCTTAGTTTTTCGAGTAAACCGGTGGCACTATTTTCCTGAGACCTTTTAACAAAATACCCTCAGAATCCTAAGAAATCGTGTCCATGATCTAGCCCGCCGATTGCGGCACTTTGTACTTCAGGTAGACGTCTCCGGTAGACAGTAGCCATTTGACAGCTGATTAGTTGGCTTCTACGATGATCAGTGTTTCAGAAACCGGGCATATGTCTATCGTTTTCATACTTTAATTTAACTCAGGTGCAAACTGTGCCATTATCATCTGAGTTGAGGGATGAAGAAAGGATTTCAAGAACTTTAACCAATAACAAAATACTGGTCGAGTGTATTACGCAACATCAAACTGTTATCAGGTAAAACGTAAGTAATTTATTGTGGTAAAAAGACATGGATGGTGGCTTATTTTAAGACCGATATTAATTTGAAGTATCTGTCCTTTTGCGTTACGTCCATGAATAAGATAAACAGAAAGAAAGCCATTATAATTAGATGGTACTTGAATAGTGTTTATCGCTTACCATAAGCCGACCATCTAGCTCTTTAGCTACATTTGAAATTATACGGGTTTTTATTGTGAGATCGTAACATAACCTGTTTTCGCAGATTTATAGAAGTAGTCGAAAATACATATCACGCTAACATATTTTTCCAATTGAGCGGTACGGTGGCTATCATCTGCATAATTGGTCTACGCATAACAATGGTACGTGTTTCTATGGCATCGTTACGGTTAATGTGTCTTCAGTCAACATTAATTTGATAAATTCACGGATGCATCAGCGATCTAGGAAGTCCAGTGAGTGATAAACCTATTCGTAATCCCTAGGAATTAATTTGAAAATAATTTAATTATTAAAAACGTGTATAGTAAAAATAAAGTAATAATAAAATATAGCTTAAATCTATATTATGTGCCCATATCCATTTTGTTTCCTTGCGTCAGAAAGTCGTCCATGCGCAGTCACACAGGGATTCGAAGAATACTTTCGATTGTTTCTATATTTAACATCACACTGGCGTAATCATCAAAGTCATCAAGATAATCCATATAAGAAGCTGAAGTGTCAGTGGCCTATCCACATGTCGTAGAACCGATGAGCGTTGGAGCAGGCAAGTTCTTGAACCAATTCTCGAAAAACCTAGTGTCGGACGTCCCCTGCCAGATGGACCTAGACCTGAAAAAGGTCGATGGTAATGGCTGGATGCGGAAAGTGGAAGATCTCACTGTGGCTTGTCACTGGGGAGGCTTCTGTCCAGCAGTGGACTGCAATAGGCCGATTGATTGATTGGCATAATCTTTACACGTTCGATATAAGCACATTTATGTTCTTTACCATACTAAAAACTCGTCATGAATCTTTCTGTTACTGAAAACGTATTTTATAATGTTAATAAAGTATCTATGCTTTTCATATTTTAAGTCTGAACCAAGCAGCGTGCAGTTCTACTCAATGCTTATCTACATGGTGACCATGCTCTCGCAGCTCTTCTTGTACTGCTGGTGTGGAAACGAGCTGACCGCAAGCGTAACTATAGATACAGATTTATTGAAATATAGATCTAAAAATAACTAATTAAAGTTCACTTTCATTTGTCCAGTAACCTCAGTATCAGCCTTATGACCACTATGAGCCTTATGATCGCAACACTGACGTTTCAAAGTGTCAAATGGTAAAACTAGACCCTGTACAGCGGATGCAAATCTAAAGCAATGATTTTCACCTATCTCCGAAGAACGGAAACATCACTGAGGCTTGAACTCAAAACCGCAAGTCTGATAACCGACCTGAACACAACTACTTTGAAACAATTTGGATTTATACCGGACAAAGATTAAGTACCTACTCAATAAAGTTATGATAATCAGTCGACGTTATTTTCAGAGTCAAAAACTAAGGGACTTTTTATACCAATGTCCGTGGTATGAACAGGATAAAACATTTAAGAAGATGCTTCTCATAACAATGGAATGCATGAAGAAACCGATTATATTCAAAGCTGGTCATTACATTCCCCTGTCCCGACCAACCTTTGTATCGGTTTGTATGAGTGATGAGTTTTGATGGTTAATTTTGTTTATTAACAATATATAAATAATAACAAGGTGGGACGACCACGCAACAGTGTTCGCTTTTCCCCAACCCTACGGGTGTTGCAACTGTTCATGGGCGGCGGTTATCACTTAACATCAGGTAAACCGCCAGCTCGTTTGCCACTTCCTCACATAAAAAAAAAACAAATAAAAATATTTGAAGATATGTGAAGTCCGCCAATCCGCGGTGGGGCCGCCTGGTGGACTATGCCCTGATACCCTCTGTACAGAGGAGGTCTTTGCCCAGCAGGTGGACATGTATAGGCTGCTACTGATATATATATATATTTGTTACAATGAATATGTATAATAATAAAAATATTGAAAAAACCATCGGACAATTAGGGCGGTATAATGGGGAACCACCTTCTGCATTTGAGCCCGAAGTGCCCCACTGCATTGCATTATTATTTCTATTTTTTGAGCTAATAATATAATTGTTTTAACTTTGGTGAGGCCGCGAAACAGCCTTGATTGTAGCACGAATGGGTAGGTCCGTCCGGGGAACTACCACGAAATCATAGAAGACCGGGTCGAAGTGAAAGTTTTAATTTGGCTTTTCGTCTTGTAAGTGAGGTAACCGGGTCCCACTTTATTAAAAGGCGACAACGCTTATTATCACTTAACATCATATTTTTTATTAAAATAATCACAAATGTTTTAATGGCAAAATACATTTAAATGGTGTTAAATAATTGTTTATTTTTTACAGATTTTACGATCATCGTATTCATACTTCGCTGTCTTAAATCAGGCACACACCTAAATGAGGAATGTAATATCCAAATAGATTCAATTAAGCTTTGCACTGACAATAGGTTTATAGTTTTTTTTTTAATAAAGAATGTTCAAGGGCACATCAAACGATCAATTACGACAAATTTTTTGTAAATTAACTATGGATTGGGCTTTTAAGCGGACGTTCTGTGTCGCAAAAATCGATTATTATTAAAGGCGTTACCACGATTATATTATATTAAGTTCCTAATGCATATAGTGTTATAGAATTTTATCGTCATTATCCTTTGAACATTAAAAAATTATCAGTCTGAACTGTATAATTTAAATATCATATTAAAGAATATTAAAATAATTAATAACATATTAAAATTATTAATTTAAATATCTAAATTTCATTGATTTTTATTCATTCATATCCAAATAAAGGAATTTCGTAGATACAGTTTTCGTAAAATGAACTTTTGTTGTATATGATTGGACTCTCTTTTTTGGTACATAAAAGGCTTATTTTGTATATCGAAAAGGTTTATCTAGGAAATATCAGAAAGAAACTTTGATACTACAAGTGTCCGATCTAGCATTCAGTTATGGCCTGTTTGGTCCAAAAAATCATCCATATACTGTACTCACACCCTCTGGTGCAAGAGGCAGGTTCACTACTCTCCACGACAGTCGAGTCCCCAAAATACTAATATTAAAAGCGTCATAGAAACATAAGGTAGTGAGCAAAGCTGTGAGCCTAGCTGATCTAGAAGCATCTCCCAATGTACTAAGGAATGCATGACTCGGTGGCACAGTTGCTGAACCAATGGCTTCAGCACCCGGGTTCGTAGGTGCGCTTACCACACGGGATAAAAATTTTTGTGACCCATACATAAGTACATGTTTTGTTTATTCCCAAGGTGGGTAGACGTCAGGCGAGCGGCTGATCGTAAAAAATAGCCAAATCGAACGTGGAGAGCGCATATTATAAGGGCGATTTTCAACCGACTTCAAAAAAGGAGGAGGTTCTCAATTCGACTGTATTTTTTTTATTTATGTTTGTTACCTCAGAACTTTCGACTTAGTTAACCAATTTAGATGATTCTTTTTTTTATTTGAAAGCTGGTGCTTCCCATGTGGTCCCATATTAATTTCATTGGTATTGGATTTTGGGCTCCGGAGGTACTTAAAGAACTCCTGAAAATTCTAACTATAAAATGAATACAGAGCGAGATATTTGACGTCGGTTTTGATTTTTGTTAATAAAAAAAAGGATTTGTTAAACAAAATGGATGTGATTTTCTACTTTTGATGTGTTTCACACAGCACATAGAACAGAGCACTATTTTAATACGCAGTAGATGAGGTTACATGTTTTTCCGTTTGGGGATAGAATATAAGATTCTGGGCATTGGACACACCCGAAAATCTGTTAGGTTGAGGTTGAAAGTCTGTTCAGGTTAAGATTGTGACTCTAATTATGTTCCATCCAAGTTGTGTGGATCCAAGGCTCGTTCCGTTACACATTCGAAGGGCACCTAAATTTCGCGACGTGAAAGAAGGACAAACAAACACGCTTCCACATTTATAATACGAGTATGAATGTCACATAAAATAAATATTATTTAAATTTGTTAATAATATCGGGGTGATATTCATAATTTTTTTAATTTTATAGTTAATTGAAAAAGGGTTACAAAAATTCTTAAACCAATAATTTGACGTGTGTGATGTGTCAAATGTCAATATCAGCTTACGTCAGTAAATAGATTGTCAAAATGATAGCCGAACAGACGAGTTAATTCTGTTAAACACAGAGCGAATTTATACAAAAATGGTGCCTTTATAAATCAATATTATTAGCCCTTTAGAATGGACAAGGATACTATGGAATTTACGTTGCCGCCGGCCCCTCGAGGTCTTTGTTTTGACCGAAATGATTTTGTCAAGGTATTTGTCAATAATAAGAGTTTATTTATTCTTTAATAAAAATTGTACGAGATATGCCCTAAGTGCCTCTTTTAACTCATTACAGACTAATTTTTCTGTGGATAATTTTCTTGCGGATCATCAAAATGTGGCCTCTTTAGAAACTATGCGCGATGATCTAGGCGTATACCTTAAAGTACTAAGGCTGGCTATGATAGAGTTAATTAACAAAGATTACGCTAACTTCGTTAATCTATGTGCAACGTTAATCGGCTTTGATAAGGCAATAGTGAAAATTCAAGTGCCGTTAGAGCAGTTAAACGAAGAAGTCTTTGTAAGTGGTTGTTTTAATTATCATTCTTTTATGTTAATATTTGTTATTTTACTCTTATAGGAGACTATTTACAATACTGCCGCTTTTTAGTTATACTTCATTTATTTTTATAGTCTGTAAAGCAATGTTTGGAGGATGCCATGAAGGAATTGTCTATTTGGCTGAACCAAAGACATGGACTGCTCAAAAAGAAACAACTACTCAAATACTACAGTCAAACTATTAATTGTTTGAATACATTGGAAAATATTTTGGGCGATATAACAGAGAAAAAGAAGCAGGAACAAATAATTATAGCCGAGCGAACAGCTTTGCAGTACAATCAGTTAAAATTCACATATTCTAAATGTGAAAGCTTATTAGATTCCAAAAGGAAAGTATTGTTTAATGATATTGGGGAAAAATTAGTACAGGTTTTAAATGACCTGCTTTTTCATTTTTGGAATGAAAATGATGAAAGTAACCTTCTTAAAACTTTTTTCATTTTAACAACAATAGATAGGGTAAAGGAAACTGAAATGTTAATAAGAAAGCGAGCCATTGCCCCATTCTTACAAAACATAATCAATGAGCCATCACTACAGAGAAGCAAAGATGGGTTGCATGGAATATATGTAAAAGTACTGGCACTTTTGGAAACGGAATTTAAATTGCTTTTCACAGTGATGCAACATTCCAAGTTTTCATTTCTAGCAGAAAAATTTAGATTTTTAGTGAATTGCTTTTGGTGCGAAGTTGAAAGCCGATTGGAAGTGAATTTGGCATCCATTTTTGCTCCTGGTAATCCACAATTATTTTATATGAGATACAGTGAAAGCATGCAATTTATAAAAGAGTTGGAAAGATATTGTTTAGATGAAGGGACTGTTAACTTGTTACATGAAACAATAGAATTTAAGAGTTTTCAAAGGAGATGGAATTTGCCAGTTTATTTTCAAATAAGATTTCAGGAAATTGCAGGTAATTTTTTTTATCTTATGGCATGTCCATTTTTATATTTCAAAAAATATTAATATTTTCATTGGTATTTGATTAATTTTATTTCATAAATAATTATTACTAGGAAGCTTTGAGGCATTGTTAAAAGAAAGTCCCACAGTTGTGAACCAGGATGGATTTGTTTTGAATGAAACACTGAAGTGTTGGGTGAGCTTACATGACTGCTGGTCAGAAGGAGTCTACATAGAAGCATTGGGTCATAAATTTTGGAAACTTTCATTACAATTAATATCTAGATATGGTACTTGGACTATCAATTGCTGTAAACAGGTCAGTTAGCTTTGACTATTTTAAAACAATTCCTTATTCAGTGTTGTTTCATCCATTCTAGAATAATTTTTGAAAGCCTAATGATTTTCCTAATTTCTTAATTTCTGTATATGCACCATATTTGAGGTTTAATGCAACTTTAAATGTATTAAGTAATGTGTTATATGAATGTATTTATTTGACTTTTATTTCAGAAAAAGTCACCACATGCATCTGAAACACCAAGTATAAACAAAAAACTTATTGATGATTGTATAAATATTTATATTGACACTCAAACATTATTGCAAAGGCTACCAAACTTTCTCGCACATGTTGAAAGCAAAATACCAAATGACAAAAGTAAATCCTTTTTAAGACAAAGTTTGAACACTTCGATAGAAGTTTTACATGGAACAGAAAGCAAAATAAGGAACTGTATAGTAAATGAATTGTTTGAATGCTTCAATATTCATTTAAAGCAAGTTAGTGATATCCCAAGGCTATATAGGAAAACTAACCGTAGCATTCCATCAAAACCCTGTGCATATATTGAAGTGGTGTCAAGTTTTATAAGAGATTTTAATGAAGGTGCATCAAAAAAAGTAGACAACATCTTTTTAGTAGGTTTATATGAAGCATTATTTAATGTAATGACTGTTTCGTAAGTATTAGTTCCTCAATTTCCTTAGCGTAGCTATGCATATAGTAATTTTTTTATGCCTGCATATTCACTATTTTAGGTACTACAAATATGTAGAAGATGTATTAACCTCTGTGCAAAGGACTGAAGAGTCCTTAAGAAGACTGAAACAAATAAGAGAGAAGGCATCACAACAAAGCAATGACAGCATTGGCACAACAGATGGTGACAAGATAAGGCTCCAACTTAATGTGGATGTTTTGTCATATACTGAGTTAGCGAAATCTTTTCATGTCAATGTACATAAAGTGCACAAATATAATGAACTGTCATCCATGGTTACAGAAGCTGTAAAAAATATAGAAATTAAATGATATGCCCAGTTATATAAATAGGATTTGTTATTTTCCTAGCTGAAACAAGGTTGTAAATGAAATCAAAGCATTTTATAACATAAACATGTATTTGATCAGCTGAATAAAAATTGTATGATTTGAAAAAATAGAAACCATTCACTTATCACTTAAAATAATTAACAAGATAATATATAACTAATACTATTTGTGTGGAACAAAATATTTCAAGATAGTGTTCGGTTTAGATTTGTTCATTGTTCTTGGACTACTTCTAGGCAACTCTGAACTGGATGGGTTTTTCCACATGGCTTTAAGTTCTTGCTGCATTTCGTCAGGCAAGGCTTTAAAAACTTCTTTATCAACATAACTTGGACAGTCATCACAATTACCAGCCTCAGATCCGTCTCTCATTGTATCTGTATCGGAAAGGTTGTCCTTAGCAGGACTGGCTCGCGGTGTCAGTGACCTATCGCGTGAGTTTAGCCTTAATTCTGAAACTTTCTCTAACTCCCGTGAATTTAATCTGAGCTCACCTACTTTTAATTTACTTGGAGATGCTACTTCCTCTTTGGACAAACATCTTCTTTTAGCTATCCAATTAACTTTTTTAGGCTTTTTAGGTGAAGGTTCAACTTCACCATCAGAGAGATCAGTTGTTGTGCTACTACTGGGAGAGGCCGCAGAGTAGTCCATTGAAGAAGCAGATGTGTCACAATCATTTGTTATGTTAAGCACAGACTGCACCGAGATATCATTCATTAAGTAATTCACAATAGAACCCCTACCTGTCATTCTTTCTTGGAACTTTGTGAAAGCCAGTCCTACCAGCGTTAAATGGAATGGTTTACTTAAATCAATGAGTTTATTGAATAATCTCATAATTAAGGTCATCAACTTTTGTTGCCCTGCTTCCGTGACTGTTGGAGTACCATTGTTAATCGTAAATATTGAAGGTGATACTTGACATTGTCTAGACTCTCTATGGCTGCAGAGCCTCTTGACATCCTTTTTGCGTAGGGTTACTCTTAGTGAAACTGGAATGCGTCCATCCTCTCTCACCAACACCAATAATCTTTGTAATAATGCAGCAAATCTCTCTTCTACTTCACTTTTGACACTGACAGTCTTGAAGCTATCCTCTAGGCCTATACTTTGTGGTTTACCCGATTGCTTGACTGGAGTATTATCTTCTCCTAAACTAAGGTTCTTAAGTCTAACTGCCATATCACTACTGAAATGTTTCTTTAATAAGTCAATAGACACTTGTTGCAAGTCACTTACTGTTATAATTTTTTGAGAAATTAGTGCTTCAGTAGTCTTTGTGCCAATACTAGGAATGGATCGCACACTTTGCAATGTGGACATAAATTTAGTACCATGTTCTGGAAATATAATTGTTTGGTCATTTGGTTTGTGAAGGGGACAGATTAATTTAGCCAATAATTTATTGTGTGCAATGCCAGCACATGTTGTGAAACCCAGATCATCAAACAGTTTCTTACGCATCTCACTAGCAATTTGTGAAGCAACTTTTAGACGTAAGTGGCAACCACATATACATTCTGTGACTGAATCATTGTAAATATGACCGACAAGTGTAAAACTATCATTACCACTTTTAACTCTTTCTGCAACTAAATTTGTGACATCTATAAAATTTTCATCCATACCTAACTTCTCAACTGGACACTTCCAATACTGAAGCGCAGCGAATATATTGTTAGAGGCCGCTCTATAATTGTGCAAGTCCTCACCGTTCACTAATTTCAAACTGGGGCAAACCTTCTGGGCGTCTGTAACGAGCATACACTTCTTTATACCGAATTTTCTAGCTTCATAATTACTAGTTACGACGATATTTTTTTGTTGGATGCCTAGAGGTTGAGACCGCAGTTCGGGCTTCCTCAGCATCTCCACTTGAGCATAAAAACAGTCTATATCAATGTGTATGATAGACTTGGGATGGTCGCTGCTGACTGATGAATGGTTGTGACAACTAGAGCTGCTTGATTCCATAATTCTGTGAATAAGACACATAGTTTAGAGGAAATTCACTTTGTTCTTTCCGAGTTTTACCTGTTGCGATGTAACTATGAACTACTTGTCACACGCTCACCTATCGTCCATGGAAACTTCATTGAAAGACGGAATATTATTTAACGTTTATAAATATTAAATATTATTTAAATATTGCTATTTTTCTTTCATAAAATCCAAAATATTGATATTTTATATTGGACAATCACGACACATCAACAGAGACGATGTTACCAACAGAAAAATAGCGGCTTATTTCGCATAGAGTAAAAATAACGGGATTCTTATTTTTGTTTGTTATTATTTATATTCAATTTTTATTATAATATTGTGTTAGCCCGGCAGCTTTGAAAACTTGTCTGATGCGGTTTGCATACACACAACTCACACACTTAAGAGAAAATAGCTGATGCACGATAGTGCCACCACTCCTCTGCATCTCTGCGAAAGGTGTTAATGTTAAATGAACAATGGATGGAACCTATCGAGGGGAAGTAATAAAGGGGAAATCGCGATTTAATTTAATAAAAAAACTAAACGATGACTAACTTATGACACAACCCAGGATTTACGAACGAAGAGAATTAATTTACGAATCTTTGAAAATTAAACAGTTGCGATTAATTGCTTCACAAGCGAATGATCGTTTGCAGACTAGATTTTATAAATTACTTATCAGCACGACTTAAGTAGATTGCGAATCGGGAACCTATTTTGAAATAATTTTAATGAAAACGTAATTAAATATCTTCTAAAGTAAATCATATATATAATTTTTTTTGTTTGCATCAGAATCATGTTTGAAATCACAGTAAAATATATAAAAAATTGTAATCTAGAGTACATGTTTTTATCTATAAAACTTATTCAATGAAAAGTAAATTTTAACATTATTATAATCGTTCTATATAATCGAAAAGTACAAAAGGTAATAAAATATTGCTTAATTAGACAACCAAAGTTCTTTTAAGTTAGATCCCAGCGCATTAGAAATTTAGAATAATGATTATTACTTTCTTCTTTATGTTACAACCGTGAAACCATCATGTAATTTATTATGAAGCAAGCTTTATAAACAGAATATTAAACGTCATGTAATTGTCAACAAAATCACTGACATTTTTATAAAGTGGGTGTTCGGAACTGTAGTTAATCGAACAAATAAACATTTTTTTTACTACTCAAAGAACAGTACAAATGTTCTCTTAAAAATCCAGAAATGGAAGGTTTGCCTTCAGGAGATATACAAGCTAAGTATCAAAAATTGGCAGCTGAATATTCAAAGGTAGATTATTGTTTAAACATCAAGCGTTGTTTTCTGATTGTAATTGTATAAATTCATTGTTTCCGCTTGCAGTTGAGAGTTCATGTGAAGGTTTTAAAAAAAGGTGTCTTAGACGAACAGGCTCGGAATAACGAATTACGGGAAGTATTGAAAGTGAAAGAGCGAGTGATAAGGCAAGATGCATTGGAAATAGATTCATTAACTTTCAGAAATCAGCAGTTGACGCGGCGCGTATCCGTCCTTCAGGATGAACTCGACGCTTTACAGGTCAGTTGGCTCCAAAAACAATACACCTAATTTGTCATAGTTTCAGTTATATTCATAAAATGTAAATACTTTAATCAATTTTAATTATTAAAATTGTATGTTTATAATTTTAATACTATGTTATAATGACAGTTTAGTCTACTTTTTAGAATTTAAAAGTATTTAAACTTCTTTAAGTTTATTCAATAAGTGGATGGTCAAATTCTCTTTTCATATCATATTTAAAACAGCTCTTGTATCTTTATTGTTAGTGAATTTATTAATTTCGAAATGTAAAAGCTTTTAATTTTACAGGTTAAGTTAAATAAAAAGACAAAAAGCAAAAGTGATGATAAACAAACCACTAGCAATGCTACAGCACCAATGGATTCTGGACTCTTACAAGAGGAGCTACAGAAAAAGATTATTGAAAGTGCCCAGTTGGCATCACAGGTATTGCATATTAACATTTGGAAGAAATCTTAGCTATGTATAGATTCTTAAATTGTAAACTTGTGGTTATTGACTATCTTACTGATAAAAAAAAATTGAAAGTATTATACCATTTTAGTGATTATGGTATTTAAAATATGATTGCTTTTAATATGTAAGGAGAGTGAAAGAGTAAAAAAAAACTAATTCAATACTGTTCAAAGCTTTCAGACAAAACCTTTGAAGTGGCTCAGCTTAGAGCCTCACTAGAAGATTACCAGAAGCACCTAAATGAAAGTGAGAGTAAATACAAGTGTGAGATAGCAAAGTTAAAAAATAAAAACCAGGAAATCCAATTTGCATTGGAAGAAGCACAGAAAGACAGGCTTGGGAGTAATTTAAACAAAGGACTAGCAGGAACAAGTAGTCAAGCAGCAAGTTGTAATGGCGACTTTCTGTCAGAAGGCGGTAGTTTGGTAAAAACAGTTTTTTATAAATATTAAGTTACATTTACAAAAGTTAAATTTTAACTTTTAGCAGTTATGGGTTCCTGTACAGAATAAGTGTCTCTATGATCTACAGATAAAAGTAAAAAAAAAAAGTAAAGTAACAGCCTATACATGTCCCACTGCTGGGCAAAGGCCTCCTCTATAGAGGGTATCAGGGCATAGTCCACCACGCGGCCCCACTGCGTATTGGCAGACTTCACATATCTTCGAAAGAATAATTTTTTTGTTATTATTTCGAAAATATGCAGGTTTCCTCACGATGTTTTCCTTCACCGCGGAGCACGTGATAAGTCAGCACTTAAAGTTAAAAACTTCATTGGTGCCGGCACAGGGGATCGAACTCAGGTTGCTCGAATATATTGAACTAAAGGCGAGCGCCCAGACACTGAGCTATCACGGCTCTCCTTCTCTGCTCTTATCTACAGATAATTCATAAGTATTTATGAATTATCTGTCTATAGATATTATATAAGTATGTATTAATTATCTGTAGGATCTCACATGGGTATTCTTGTGAGATTAAAATAATGTAATTAAAATTAATTATATTTTAAAAAAGCAGTCTTCTTATGTTTCAGATTGGCAGTGAAGATGCCCTCAGTTCAGTGGATGAGCTTAACATCAATGAACTTGGTACAAAAGCAATTACACTTGAACAGGTAACTTAGTGTAATGTTAACAATACTAAAATACTAAATTAAAAAGGTAAATAAGTGTTAGAACTAGAATTGGGAATTGTAAATTTTTATTTATTTTCAAAATATTTCCAGCTAATTTCTGTAGGGTCTTATGTCCGACTATTACCTAATACTACATGCACAGATTTTGCCCACTAACGGGACATACTCATAAGATCATTTTAGTTTATCGTCCTGTCTTATGAAATTGGAGTCAACACAAGGAATTTATACTTGATCCTACTTATATTATTTAAACTGACCTGTGATACAATATAATTTTGGCAAGTAATCCATAATAAATTGTATCATATACCGCTCTCAACATACCCTTGTATTCATTTCATAAATTTTTTCATTATTTCTAATGAAATGGTTTTTGAAAGAAAACCAGTACAATTAATTTCTTTTTGTCTGTTCTATATTTACATCATTACTGTTTAAGGAGAATCAAAAACTACGAATGGAATATGACATATTGCAAATGGAAAATGAAAGCCTTAAATTAGAAGTTGCTAAACATGTATCAGCTGCACAGAAAAGGAAAGGGGAGGGACATGATTCTGGCGATTTTAACAATTTCAATGAGACTTCCGTAGACTCAGAGGGGAGGATAACAGGACTTCTTGGCAGTTTAGAGGTATGGGATGCAACTCTGATATTGATAATGATGATATTCCGATCGCCTTGATTTATTTCAATTCCAGATAGTGTAATAAATTAAACACAATAAAATTCTTAGGTATTGTTATTTCTATCATTTCCTAGTATTTGCTTACTTACTGAATTATGTAATATGATTAATAAAATGACTGATTTAAATTGATTGAATTGATTGAAGTGTCAGAGAATTATATTTAAAATTTTGTATTTTAGGTGCCATTCCTTCTCAATCATGAGATTCAGATGAGAGAGGAGCGAGTGAAGAGATACTTTAGGAATAAGCTTAGTGAAGTTAATATTGAGCATGAAGAGTTGAAGAGCAAGACTGAACATTATTTAAACGAAGTAAGCGTTGTCAAATTGCCTTTTGCCCTGTATTCTTTTATTGATGTTGAGAGAGAAGATGTAGAGTTTGTAAGCGAGCAGGCAGTTCCGGTTAAAAAAGCCCTGACTATCTCTCTCGCCAGACCAAATGCCAAAGTAGCCTGTAAAGTAAGACTACCCTGGAAAGTTCAAAGTCAAGCACCAGGTCTGATAACAAATTTGTTCTTAAAACCACTCCCAGACCAGTTGATTTGTATACTGGCAAACCATTTTCAATGCATTTCTCTTAAGCTACTCCTTACATGATAAATGGGTATTGAAACAAACCACCCAAGATGGCAACTACTTACCGCCTCATCAGCCTCCTCAATTGCGTGAGAACCATAGCACAACCCTTTTTAAATAATGCGCTTCTATAAAGTCCTAATTTCCTCGAACAATTCGTTTACCGCCGGATCTATCGCCTAGGCATAATATCGCATACAAAGTATGGATTACAATCACAAAACCGTTTGTAAGCGACAAGGTCTGGCACAACTCTTTCATTTATTTATATATGTACAATCTGTAAGCCACTTAACGTGTCAGACAGGCTCGTTCTGACTATCAGATCATTCCGTGTAGAGGGCCCTCTCTTTATGTGCGCCCCCACCGTGGGGCATTCCTCAGGGTTCCTACTTCTCCCCCTTGCCCTTTTCTCTTTACAATATTGCATCCGAAAGGACGTGTTAAACTGGCGCTTTTCGCGGAAGACATCGCCCTCTACTTCAAAACGGAGGAGGTTCTCAATTCGACTGTATTTTTTTTATGTTACCTCAGAACTTTCGACTGAGTGAATCGATTTTGATGTTTCATTTTTTATTTGAAAGCTGGTGCTTCCCATGTGGTCCCATATTAATTTCATTAGTATTGGATCTCTGACTCCGGAGATGCGTAGGGAACTCCATAAAATCAATTATAAAATGAATACAGAGCGAGATATCTGAAGTCGGTTTTGTTTTTGGGTAGTAAAAAAATTGATTCGTTAATATTTCAGTGTGAAATGTTGAGGCACCGCTTCGAGGAGATGGAGCGGGAGAGGGATACGGATGCGCGCACGATAGACGAGAAACACAATACTATCAGCCGATTGGTCAGTATTAAGACATATCTCATTTTGTTTTAGGATACAAAAGAATATACTTAATTGCACACAAGGCAATACACAGAAGGAAATTTAATTAAAAAATGTTGGTTTCCCTTGATTATTTCTAATATAGTGAATTCTTGCGATTTATAGGAAAGTCGGAACCATGCGATTTGTAGGAAAATCGGCACTGTGATATGGAATTGATATTTAGTTATTAAGTGGAACTCTCTTAAAGAAAACTTTATTAGTTCTTTGTTATTTAGTTTTATATTCAACTAGCGACACGCCCTGACTTTGCTACCGGATTTGTTGCCACCCACACCCTCTAGCGCAAGATGCAGGGTCACCCATTAAGTCAATCGGGTTGTTTTTTTATGGAGGAAAGGGGCAAAAGAGTAGGAGGGTCACCTGATGGTAATAATCACCGCCGCCCATGAACACCTGCAAACCCGAGAGCTTACAAATGCGTTGCCGACCTTTTAGGAAAGGGTATGCTCTCTACTTGAAGGCTCCCAGGTCGTAACGGTTCGGAAAGACCGGCGAGTTGTCAAAAACGATATATATCAATGTTAAGGACGCGTTTACGAATTCACGCGCTTCAATTTTAGGTACAGAGGCGTACTACTACACGTGCACGGCTCACGCACACAGCGACAAGCGCGAAGCAGCGAAACTTTATGTAACTGACGCAACTTGATACTTTTATTTAATTTGAAGTCATTTATTTTTTAAGCTTACGTTAAATTTGTTTTCAACAAGTTTTTAAACTGAATATTTTTTTATATATTTAGGTATAATTTATTAAATTTCATTTAAAAGCTCGTAGCTGTTGATAATTTGCGTTTTAATTAATTATGTATATAATTTAATTTTATGTTTTAATTAATTTTTATGAAGAAAACGAAGCTTGTTTTATACATGTTTGATTATGCGTGCGGTAGGTAGATAGCTTGATAGGTAGGTAATGGTAGGGTACGTAGGAAGGTAGCTATGTAGGCAGATAATTAGGTAAAACCCGCTAACGAATTGAGTAAAATACTTTGTATGGTATTCTGAATGCATTTTGCTGATTCAATAATATTCATGCTAAATGTTAAAAAAAATAATTTTCTGTAAATGAATTGGAAATAGCATGGCGTACGAAGCCGGGCTAGTATCTAGAAACTAAAAATGAAATAATAAAACGAAGGAAACAAACTAGTAAAAATTAAAAAAAAAACATTTTTATAAAAAAAAACCTGTCGCACTCGGCGCAGCTGGGGTAAAGCTATAGCATAGTATCTTTTATCAACTTATGCGATTATAATTATTTAATTATGCAGTATTTTTTTCTTTGATATTTATATCTATGTTAATAAATAATAATATAATAATTAATATATATTATAATTAATAATATATAATTAATTTATATTATTTACAAAAATGATAAGAACTACTAAGTCAGTCACTAAGCTCTGGATAGTTAAATTACAATATACTAACATTTTTAAACTTGTGATATCTTTCGAATGGAATGTCCGAATTTAATCATTCAAAAAGTTATATAAAGATATTGAAACAGTCTTAAATATAAAGTAATTTATTTTTATAAGGATTAATACCAAGATACAAATAAAGAGCCTTTTCTAGCGGCGGCATTTCAATCAAAATTTTAAAGTAAAAGAATACTTATTGTGGCATAACTATAATAGTTAGACATATACTGTCGCAACACTTTTTATAAATAATGATGTGTTCTGCAAATTCGTAGTACATTATTTTATACAATTATCAATAGTTTTAGCAGTGCACGCGATGCAAACAATATTTTAGGTAATTTTTGTACACTTTGGTTTACATTAATAATGTAGCTTCCAGACAGTGAAAGAAATTTTCAAATCTGTTCAGTGGTTTAGGAGCCTATTCAATGCGTAAAAACAATCAAATCTTTCCTCTTGCGTGGTAGGCGGAGTGGGTGGTGTTAGGTTTTATTTTCGTTACGGAATTTATTGATTCGTTCGCCGCGCTCAAAGCCCGCGATAAAAGCTGTGCAATAGCTTAAAAAAATATTGTTTCATTTTTTAATTTGACTCTTCCATGCTCTTCGCAGAACTGTCGCTATGTCGATCCTGGGTGGAGCAAGCCCGCGAGGCCAATTTATACCTCCGACACGAGGTTCTGGCTCCGCCTTTTGATGTTCACTCTAGGGATAGGGAAGACCACACGGAGTCGGGGTGCTCTGTGTCGGATCTTTGTGATTTTTCTTTATAGTTCTCTATCATTTAATTATTTTTGTTATCTATATCGAAGTAGTAGCCTGCTAAAATTTTATCGTTTTAGGCTTTGGCATCTGAAACAACAATTGAGTTATAAGAGGTATAAATGTTGTATGTGATAACTGTGCCATAAAAATAAGTCTTTGATAATTTAAGTTGAGACCCACTACATTTTTACATAACTATTTTTTTTTCGTGTTTTGCCTATTTTAAAGACGGTCTTACTTATTTTAAATTAAGTATTATTTTAGGCAGAATCCATGATCATAAAAGTTGATCAGTGCGAAACACGACAAAACAAATAAACGATAAATGGGGTCATAAACGTGAAACAAAAAGTTTGCCACATAGCTGTCGTTCGAAACTTTTGAAGTACATGTTTATTACACCTATTCATTGAAACATACAAAAAAATGACCTTTTAGACATGCCTAATCTTACAATTCGCAAGTGTGCAAATTTGTTTTGTATTACTTGTATTTTTAATTATCCATACAACTTTTCTACATGTGGTGTACTTTTGGCCAACATTTGGCTGCATGGAAATAAGAATTTATAATAAAATACCAGATAGGTTCATAGGCCTCCCGGAGTATTTAAATTTAAACGAAAATTCTAAAATCTGTACACTATCAAATTAGACATTTAAAATATTTAATCATGTCTAAGTAATGTAGAATGTTTATATTAAAAATTCATTACTTTGACTTGTGATTTACTTTGACTTATATTTATACTCTATTGACTCATAATTATAATCTAAATTTCAATTTTTTTTTAAATTAACATGTTTCACAAATATTTATACACAGAATTGATGTAGAATACATAGTTCCATATTTTAAATAACTTTTTTACTGTATTCTTACACCTTCATGCCAATACATCAATTTCAAAGGTAAGGTCTCAAAAAAACTCACAAAACAAGCCCAAACTCGACACACATAGCTCATCTCGTCTGTTAGTTCCAGTAGCAGTTCTCGAAGTACACCTTCAGGTCACTCCAACAAATCAGAAGGCAAGGTCTCACCATACCTAACAAAACAAGCCCAAACTCGACACACATAGCTCATCTCGTCTGTTAGTTCCAGTAGCAGTTCTCGAAGTACACCTTCAGGTCACTCCATCTAGTCAGAAGGCAAGATCTCACCATACCTAACAAAACAAGCCCAATTTCGACACACATAGCTCATCTCGTCTGTTAGTTCCAGTAGCAGTTCTCGAAGTACACCTTCAGGTCACTCCAACAAATCAGAAGGCAAGGTCTCACCATACCTAACAAAACAAGCCCAAACTCGACACACATAGCTCATCTCGTCTGTTAGTTCCAGTAGCAGTTCTCGAAGTACACCTTCAGGTCACTCCATCTAGTCAGAAGGCAAGATCTCACCATACCTAACAAAACAAGCCCAAACTCGACACACATAGCTCATCTCGTCTGTTAGTTCCAGTAGCAGTTCTCGAAGTACACCTTCAGGTCACTCCAACAAATCAGAAGGCAAGGTCTCACCATACCTAATAAAACAAGCCCAAGCTCGACACACATAGCTCATCTCGTCTGTTAGTTCCAGTAGCAGTTCTCAAAGTACACCTTCAGGTCACTCCATCTAGTCAGAAGGCAAGGTCTCACCATACCTAACAAAACAAGCCCAAACTCGACACACATAGCTCATCTCGTCTGTTAGTTCCAGTAGCAGTTCTCGAAGTACACCTTCAGGTCACTCCATCTAGTCAGAAGGCAAGGTCTCACCATACCTAACAAAACAAGCCCAAACTCGACACACATAGCTCATCTCGTCTGTTAGTTCCAGTAGCAGTTCTCGAAGTACACCTTCAGGTCACTCCATCTAGTCAGAAGGCAAGATCTCACCATACCTAACAAAACAAGCCCAATTTCGACACACATAGCTCATCTCGTCTGTTAGTTCCAGTAGCAGTTCTCGAAGTACACCTTCAGGTCACTCCAACAAATCAGAAGGCAAGGTCTCACCATACCTAACAAAACAAGCCCAAACTCGACACACATAGCTCATCTCGTCTGTTAGTTCCAGTAGCAGTTCTCGAAGTACACCTTCAGGTCACTCCAACAAATCAGAAGGCAAGGTCTCACCATACCTAATAAAACAAGCCCAAGCTCGACACACATAGCTCATCTCGTCTGTTAGTTCCAGTAGCAGTTCTCAAAGTACACCTTCAGGTCACTCCATCTAGTCAGAAGGCAAGGTCTCACCATACCTAACAAAACAAGCCCAAACTCGACACACATAGCTCATCTCGTCTGTTAGTTCCAGTAGCAGTTCTCGAAGTACACCTTCAGGTCACTCCATCTAGTCAGAAGGCAAGGTCTCACCATACCTAACAAAACAAGCCCAAACTCGACACACATAGCTCATCTCGTCTGTTAGTTCCAGTAGCAGTTCTCGAAGTACACCTTCAGGTCACTCCATCAAGACCGTAACGAAATATGAATTTTTAACCCCTACTAATTTCTAGTAAAAATATGACAAAGTGTGAATTATAGTTTACTTTTGTCGTTCGTAGTCCGAAGTCCGAACATGATGTGTAAAGTATCAACTTTGTTACGACAAATATTTTGTATTCGTACAGCGATCTTTTTCCTCACGAGCTGCTGTTTATAAGCGACATAGTGACCACTCATGACGGCAGCCGAGCGCCGACTAATATTTCTTTAAATATTTTTGTGGAATAAATCAAAAAAGTGACCAGTAAAATAACCTTTATGTCAATCACTTAAGATTCACGCGTAAGATATAAATGTGAAAGAAATAGATTTTAATCTTTTTTTTTTTTCTGAAACTAATTTCAACAATTTTGATACGTAATGTAGCTACCTTTTTGAGTTGAACATGTGTGCTTACATAAAATATTTTTAAATAAAAAAAATATGTTATTAAATAAGAGAAAAATGTTCCTAAACCCAACAGGATATCGTCCATTTTGAGTGAAGTGGTCACGAAAATTCTCATTTACAATATTATAAACCAAAATTTTCGATTAAAAACTATCGACCATTTGAAGATGAAGGAGGGATCTATATGTGATAATTATTACTTACATTATATTCGTTTCGTTTTGCCGCAAAATGTACCCGAAAACCCCCTATTTTTGCAGATTCCGCGAGATTTCGCAAACACGCCCTTAATATACAGGGAGAATTTACAAAAAGTGCCCAAATTAACACAGAACGTTCAGACTCGGTAGTATAATCGTTTATTGAAATAAAAACAAACTTTTTTTTTTTCAAAAAATTACCAGTCTATTCCCTAAAAAACAGAACTTGTTGATAACGCGGTAGTCATTCATTAACCTAAATTTTACTGTTCACGCACACAAACGAACTTGTTTGCGTGTTAGTTATGAATGATCGCGCGTAAAACAAACGAGTTGCGTATAAATCACGCACTTTTTGAGATAAGTTCAAAGAATGTAATTAATTACTTACGAGTAATTTAAAATATTTATCATTTTTTATATAACATTATTTATGTCTAGAATTTAATAAAAAAAAAATGGATACACTTAGAAAAGCCTTCCTGTATATCTTTTTTTATATCGTCTAAGAATCAAAAGTTGAGTTTTAATACACCCAGGAGGAGGAGCTCCACTCGACCTCCCACAACTACGAGCAGCAGATGTCGGTCCTCACCGAGCACGTGGCCGGCCTCAACGAGCAGCTGGCGAGCCAGCACGACCAGATAGAGCACCTGAAGCACCAGCTCAACACCAGGAGGAAGTAACGGGTAGAAGATATTTGCCCTTGACCAGTTTTCTGCCAGGAAGTAAGGGGGAAGATATTTGCCGTGGGCGCAGTTTTCTGCCAGGGGGAAGTAACGGAGGAAGATATTTGGGATTATTATTATCTGGGCCTAGTTTCATTCGAAGGCGATTCGAAGACGTTTTCAACTATCGATTCTTTACGAATGAACTACGATGCCGTTGGTGTTTACGATCGTACTTGCATGATATCTCGCCCTGGTTAGGCGTAAAGTATACATTGTTATTTTGTTGGCATTAGAGCACTCGTACAGCCCTACAACAACCGGGCGTGGCCTAAGACCACATATATACGAAATCGTCACTCGCCAGATCCATCACCGCTAAGCATATGTTGATGTGAAGCTGTAATGTATTTACTTATTGCATATAGTTTATTAAGTCGCCTTACACGAATGTGAAATGTAGCTCTGTCGTTTTCCTATGCCTCCACAGCGATTCTGAAAAATTCTGTTTGAATGCCGCGCTTTTATTAATCGAGCTTCGCCCGCCACGGACTAAATTAACGATCGATCATAATTTGCAATATATTTAGTTATTAAATAATGCGTATTATTACTCCGATGAACGCGAAGTCTACGTATTACATTTTTTTTTAATTAAGAAGTGGGTAGTAAAACGTTTTCACATGTATGTAATTTAATGATTACCGACTGGCTGCGGATGCGTTGCCAACATTCCAGAAAGTGGGCCCTAGTTACATCACTTACCAGACAAAACGGGAAAGTATTCCGTGGGGCTGCAGTACTCCTGGGACGAGGAATCTTTTTGTGTAGTTCTTCCACAGTCAATAATTGTGATACAAGTAATTACTATCTCAGCTTTTCTCATAACATTGTTTGTTCCTCATCATCATTTCAAACGGATAAGTCCACTGCTGAACATAGGCCTCCCTCACAGACTGCCACGAACCCTGTTTATTATCATTCAAAATCGGGTTAACTCGATCTTCAGGTGATGAAAGTAACAGACAAGACTATTTGTATAAGTGATGTTACGCTTTCAGTCCTTAGACTATTAATGCTTCATCGAACCCAGAACCGGTGAGCTAGTCAAAACCCACGGGTTTTAGGCCCTCAGTAAGTAGGGCCGAGTATGACATGACTATATTATTACACTGTGGGGTAGTGGGAATATGGACCATACATAGTGTATTATAGTTGTAAAGGTGTTTAGTTAGGTTCTGGAAACTGACTACCCAAACTTTGTAATACTGAATCATAAGATATTATTGATTTCATTCATTTGTGTGGTCTATCGTTTAAATGTATACAATTTTAATTAATTTTAGAAAGACTTTTGCTGTAATTACAACTTTGTAAAGATTTTTCTTTGTGCAATGAAACAAATTCGCTTGATAGAAAATCATAAAATGTTTACGCTTTCGTTGAGTATTATTAAAATTTTTAGCTAATTTTTTTTAATCGACTGAAAAAGTTAAACATTGAATCTTCAAAATGTTTTGAATGATGTGATTTGTAATTATCATATTAATATTGGTAATAAGGTGTTCGCAGGCTTGTATTCATATTTCTATTTGTATTGCTTATTTTCCACCTTTCTACCTGCAAAGCGTGTTTTAGATTTGTTAAAAAGGTTATATAATTGTATCATGTAAGCAAGATATAAGATAAATATGTTGTATATAATATCCTCATATAAATAAAACCTATGTCCATATAAAATAAGTAATTATTATATTCAGATAATCCACATTGTATATTTCCTTAAGAGTGATTGGAGAAATCTGCTATGAGCTACTTCTAGAAGAATCGAACGTGAAACAAGTAACATTGACTTCAGTGCTACAAACTACTATACCTTGATTCAAAGTTATTTAACAAAAATGATAGTGCCTCTCGATTTTCACAAATCACAAACTGAGGCAAAAGTCAGCCTCAATTATTGTTTTTCGTAACATTACATTTGAAAATTTGGATTAAGTATTTATGCATTTAATTCCTCTGTCTCTATTTCGCCGTCGTACGTTAGAAATAAAGCGTACGTCCAACCGTTTTCATGATATGTGGATATTCCCACTAAGGAGTTTTACTATATAACAGGTAGTGTGTGGAAAAGGTGGTGTTACATACTACGAGTATTTTATACCTTATTTATTTGATATGGTATTTCCTTGTTGCTGGATTTATTTGAAACGTTAAGCATTATTGCACTGGTAAGTATTTAAGTTAATGGATGAATATACGCGGTCAAATTCGCGCTCCTAATCTGGCATTCCTCGAGTTGTTGCTCGACACGAAACTTGGCTAATACGCATTGGCTAATACGTACCATATACGTTATGAATTTTACATTCTTGTATATATATATATAATGTATATGTATATAAATATATATATATATATAATCTTACCCGAACAAAGCGATCCCTCAATTTATAAACATATTTCTTTAACATGCTAAATATATTAAATGTCGAAGAAACGGAGTATGGATTATATTCAAAATTAAGTTGTACATACTCATATTCGGTCAAATAGAAAATCAAATCTATAGTATCTGATGGAGACGATATTATTTTATAACACTTCAAAATACGTATTTAATAAGTACACGTTGATAATCTGTATAACGTAAAATCATAAACTGTGTTAAATATTTATGTTCATGTAAATAAATAGTTTGAAATACACTTAATCGTTTAATTTCCATGCAGTGGCGGACTAAGCCCTTCGGAGGCCCCTAGGATAAGAAGATTGATTTCATTTTTTAATTCTGCCAACACATATGCAATTTTACGGGACTTACAAATGTCAATGGGCGGTGCGTGTTACTTAATTTCAAGTGAAACGCATGCCTGCATGTCAAGATCACACAGAAAAAAAAAAGAGGAACAAAGAATAAAAGCATTAACCAAACCGGGGTTGCAATAAAACGTACAGGTATATGCACAACTTTGTATTATAACGATAATCATAAGCACCTTATAATATGTCATCTGTTACATTATTCTGATTTCAACAGTTACATTATCGTTATAAATATTTATACAAAATTTTCACAGATTTGTTGTAAGGATACGCGACAACGCCGCGTTGAGACGCGCCTTATGGGTGTTGCAAGCGACTGTACCGGACTTGAGACGCGCCTTATGGCTGTTGCAAGCGACTGTACCGGACTTGAGACGCGCCTTATGGTTGTTGCAAGCGACTGTACCGGACTTGAGACGCGCCTTATGGCTGTTGCAAGCGACTGTACCGGACTTGAGACGCGCCTTATGGTTGTTGCAAGCGACTGTACCGGACTTGAGACGCGCCTTATGGCTGTTGCAAGCGACTGTACCGGACTGGAGACGCGCCTTATGGCTTTTGCAAACGACTGTACCGGACTTGAGACGTGCCTTATGGCTTTTGCAAGCGACTGTACCGGACGTCGAGCTCGTTCCACGGGCGTAGCTTAGTGCATTAAACGTAACGTCTTAAAGTAGAAAACCTTTACCAACGATTTATTAACAGGCGTAACATGAGAGTACACTTCTTATCTAAACATCTAGCCAGTCTTTCATTAGGGGACATGGTTAGAGCAATGTTGGAAGTACATTCGAAGCGATAGTTAAGTTCACTAACCTATTATGTACCAATTAGCGTATATCACCTCAATTAAGACAAGTATTAAAAATATTTTTTTTAAGTCCGAACAATTATTACAATAGAGCACATTAACTTTGCGATGTAAATTTAAATGTTATACTACGCGCATGTTGTCAAACTTTCGTTCGAATAATTATTGGATTCGCATTACACATTAACTGTCTGGCACAGTCACTTGCGTCAATTTCCAAATTAAATTGCAAGGAAGTGAGCGCTTCCAGAAGAGAAAAAAAAAACATTTCGGTATTTTATTCCGACGCGTTCAGCACACACGCAACATGACAACTTTATAATGTTACACGTAACGTTTACATTACATAGACACCACCACATAGTTACCGGGAGTGCCACAGAGACAAAGCGAATGGAGGTATAAAAATATTACAATGACGATTCTAATTATATACAGACAAGGTGACTGGAAACGAACTTAGTTTGAGGTAAATAAATAAAAAAAAGACAAATAAATAAAACTAAGTGTACCCAACCGCGCAAACATTCACGCAAAAACTTAGCACTCGCACAATGCAAACACGCCTCTAGTCTTCCATTCCCATAGCCCGTTACATAACGTGAATTTCCAAACATGGCTGCAATTCTCCTTTGGCACACTATGAATTAAAAAAAAAAAAAAAAAAACAATAGTAACAACATAAATCGAAATGCAAGAACGCAGATATCCTTGTACACTCACATTGATACATATTTTTAAACCAAGCAAAATATTGGAACATATTTTCATGCCATTTCCCGCTTTTGATCTTTTTAATACAGTATACAGTAAAGAGTCCAAAGCCTTCGGCAACTGCGTAATTTTATTTCTCATCAATATGTTTTTTTTATTTCATCAGGTAATGTTTATTTCACATCCTCCCTGTTAATCAATATAGAGATGTTCGGTGCCTTTTCAGTCAATTTTTATAAATATAACAATTGTCATAGATTATCTATATCACATATATGGTACATGGTTAATACACGCTGCAGATTACGCAGCTAATCGAAGAAAATAACTGTTTTTTTTTTTTAAATTATTATCATATACCCCAATAACCTGTATAACACTAGCAGTGATGTCGGAAAATGACAATCATATAAATACTGTTATAGATCTAAGTACAATATTCCATTGAAATTACAAAAAATGTATGTATCATAGACGAAATGTGTAAAGTACGAAAAGGTTTTTTTTAATATATTCGACCCTTAACTAATAATTTATCCATATAAGCGTCAGAAAATGGCTGTTGCATAAACATGATTTGTCTCTAAAACTGATAAACTTTTATGTAATTTAACGGTGGAATGATGTAACGACCCTAAAATGAAATACAATAATTCTTAATAAAAAAGCTGTTCACGTGAGACTGTGTTTGATATTAAAACAATAGTTGACCGGATAAGTGAATACGACTCAATAAACCTTACCGATCCTGTAAAACTACAGTTTACATTGAGTGCAGACGTGAAACCACATTGACATTGACGATTTTGGACGTCACTACAAACATATTAAGAGTTGTTTTCGCGTGATAACTTATTGGATCACATACAACATAAAACACATATTTGATGAAACTTCTAACACGTGATCATTTACACAATGTCTTATAATATACCGTCTAAAAGCTCGCTGCAGTCGGTGTGGGGCAACACCAGCCTTATTTAGCACTCGACTTTCTTACCAGCCTTTAGACAACAGTTCAAAGTGGATTTAAATATATCTATACGAGAAGCGAAATAAAGTCCACAGCACAGCACACGTTGACGGTGAACGTATGTAAACCAACGATAGGGCACTACAATTTAATGTTATACACTAACTATAATTCAATATTGACCACGTAATTCGCAAGCAAACCGGGTCTAGGGCATAGATCGAGGTTCGCGGCCTCGTATAGAAGCGTACCAAAATTAACGCTTGCGCTATTGGGGAAACGTTTGAATACACAATAAATATATAGCACTGAAAGAAAGAGACGCCCATATGCCGCTAATTTCAGCCTTCTGCTCCAGCAAACATCTCCAATAGCACACGCCGAAAGATTATCCAGCAATATCATTGTTCTTAGCAATCCACCCGAAAAGGATCGGCCGCGTCGAGGTCAGGAACGCTTCTTTGCAGCCCAATAAGATTCGATATGAAGGTTATATTTCACACCCTCGACCTCTGCTCAGACGCTCGTTCGTATGCGGCGTGCCTCCGCAAGTCTCTCGTCTTGCACTCGACTATTTCGGCATGACACTTCCTCCGCGCTCCAAGTCACGTTTTTCTCGCATGCAGCTCACGCTCAGCACACGCATGTCTCGTTCTATCTTGCTCTAACATATAATAGCGTGCGATCGAACGAAAAATGCGGTAACGCACACGATAAACGGTGGGTTTCCAGTAAGTATTATTACTTGAATTTCTTAATGTAAACGGACGTCCGGAGATTTAAAATTTACCACAACCAACTGTCACTGAATGCCACTAAAGAGTTCAGCTGAAGTATTATTTCTGGTATTGAAATGTGAGGGTTGTCAAGGCGGCTCCCTTAAGCGTGAGCCGCATGCGAGTGCGGTCGTCTGCTACGCAAAAACCGCCACTAGCTTCCGACGGTCAAACGTCAGTTTTGCTTGCACGTCGGGTGTGCGGCGCGGGGCGAGGCAAAGTGGACCGTGTATGTTGGTACCGAAGGGCGGTTTTCGCCTGCTAGCAGCGGTCGCCGTCGGGCGGCGTAGTCAGGCGAGGCAAAGTGGGCCGTGTGTTTTGGTACCGAGCGGCGGCTTTCGCCTGCTAGCAGCGGTCGCAGCCGGGCAGCGTGGTCTGGCGAGGCAAAGTAGACCGTGTGTGTTGGTGCCGAGGGGCGGTTTTCGCCTGCTAGCAGCGGTCGCCGTCGGGCGGCGTAGTCAGGCGAGGCAAAGTAGACCGTGTGTGTTGGTGCCGAGGGGCGGTTTTCGCCTGCTAGCAGCGGTCGCCGTCGGGCGGCGTAGTCAGGCGAGGCAAAGTAGACCGTGTGTGTTGGTGCCGAGGGGGGCCGTCGGGCGGCGTGGTCTGGCGAGGCAAAGTAGACCGTGTGTGTTTGTGCCGAGGGGCGGTTTTCGCCTGCTAGCAGCGGTCGCCGTCGGGCGGCGTAGTCAGGCGAGGCAAAGTAGACCGTGTGTGTTGGTGCCGAGGGGCGGTTTTCGCCTGCTAGCAGCTGTCGCCGTCGGGCGGCGTAGTCAGGCGAGGCAAAGTAGACCGTGTGTGTTGGTGCCGAGGGGCGGTTTTCGCCTGCTAGCAGCGGTCGCCGTCGGGCGGCGTAGTCAGGTAGGGGTCGGCGCGCTTGTGCTCGATCAGCGCCTTCACGGTGGACGTGTCGGCCGGCAGGTCGGACTTCTTGCGCAGCAGCGGTTTACTCGCGTTGTTGTAGCCCTGCTTTCTGCTCTGCGAAGGGAAATAGATGTTTTTTTCTTTTTCTAACTAAAATACTGTGTTTATGTCTTTTATGTATTTTTTTTGCTTATGTACCAAATAAATATTTTTCTTTCTTTCTTTCTTTCAAATAGACGGATTGACTATATAAAGGTCTCATGTCGAAACTAACTTGCGATGCGAGTCGTCAAGCCTTAATAAAGAATGCGACTCGCATTTGGCCGATCTTCTTACGAACGGCCGCTTGGTAAGCAAACAAACAGACCCGGACAATTATGTGTCGGTCTCACAAATACTTGTCCTTTGTGACACGACCCTCGACGCCAAAGCCAATAGCTAAGCAACGGCGCCATCGAGTCATCATTAATGGAGTTTTAACTAACAGTCGTAATTCCAAATAATCACTGACACAGACAAGATCCTGGGATCGAGGTACTTACCCGCTACCCCACGTGATGCACGATGACGCATATGGTCATTAGCTTCATTTTAAATCACTACATAGTATAAAACAAAGTCACCTCGTTTTCTGTCTGTCCCTACGTATGCTTAGCTCTTTAAAACTATGCAACTACAAAAGGTTTTTTTACTAGGTAGAGTGATTCAAGAGTCAGGAAGGAATACAGGTTTATATGTATGTATAATATATTGCACCCGTGTTAAGGCGGGGGCGGGTCGCTAGTACAATATGTTTTGAATCACCTCGTTCTGTTCGCGATCCAGCCTGCGCGCGGGCTCTGCGGGCGGCGCGAACGCGGGGTGGGGTGCGTGCTCGGGCGGGGCGCAGGCGGGAGCGGAGGCGGGGGCGTGAGCGGTAGCGGGAGCGGGCAGCGACAGCGCCGCGCTGGCCGGGTTCGCCGCCGCCCGCGCCTCCAGCCGCTGCCACAGCTCCTCGCGCTGCAGCATCCGCTCGCGCTCTCTGCCGACCGCAAATATCAATAATAGCTTCAATTGTAACATTTCATCTCAAGTGTAGAGATAAGCACTATAAAATATTGACTCTCTAATAGCAATGGCGACATCTCTCGTTCGAATTCTCGTTATACAACTATAATACAAAACAAATTGTTTTTATTTATTTATTTTGTATTACTTTTTGAACCTGTTTTGGATTGATGAGACCAACCAAACATCAGAAATATTTTTTTACTTCAATAGTAGCGTATGGTCTGCAATGTTACCGAACATAAAGGCCCATTTACACGGTGCAAGTTTCTTGCCTGTTATATACAATTAAATTGAAGCAATAAATGAGTTGCATTGTCACAAACAGCACATAACATTCTTGACTGTTGAACAAGACTTGCTTCAAGTTTTGTTTCAAAACTTTCCTTGGTGTAAACAGCACACACAATAATTTCTTAAGCAATTCTTGTATTCAATTGCATTCTCTCTTCCTTTGCAAAAATTAGTGCAATGAGTGACGGTATTTAATCATTGCTGTTCTTTTGAGGATAGAAATATTGAAAAGGTCGTAAAAAAAGTTTGGATAAAAATATGAATAATAATATGAATAATAATATATGGATCATAATAAATAAATCTCAATGAAATATATTTAATCGGCATAATCTAACTTGAACGCTTATTATTGAGCCATTTTTAAAAAAAAAACAGCCATTTGTAAAACGTTCAACACTTGCATGAAAAATTTGTCAACGCAATACTTGCAATACTTGAAGCAACACGCCAATAAATTGTACACGCACATACAAGCATGTGTTTAGACAAGTCAAAACTTGAAAGCAATAATCGCTTAAACAATTGCATTGGTGTAAACAAAAGACCTTTGCAATTATTTCCTGTCAAGACTTGCATTCAATAATCGCATTCAATTTTTTTTACTATATCTGCGTGTAAACTGTTGCTTACAATTCTTGATGGTCAATTATTGCGTGCAACTTATTGCATTCAATTATTGCTCTTGTATGTACAAGAAAATTGCATCGTGTAAATGGGCCTTAATGCTGAGTATTCGGCCTATTTCATATGACATTATTTTATACGAAAAGGCGGAATGCGAGTTCACATCTAGATTTTAGATGAAAATCTGCCAATGTCAAACGTAACCGGATCGTACTTCTGCTTCTCCTGCTTGTACTGCTGCGTGCACTCGTCGAACAGCTTCTGGTTCATCTCCATGAACAGCTTGAGCGCGTTGTAGACGAGGCCGTGTATGGTCTTGTTCCAGTGGCTCTTCGTGTTGCGGTACAGCGACGGGAACATTATCGGCAGTATGTGGGTCGCGTTGTCCGATATGAGGGACATTATGTACTCGTTGTTCCAGTAGTAAAGGGCCCGTTCCGCCACCTGGGATGGAAACAGCGTTATAATACATTCACCGTCGGCTCAGGCTAGGCTGGGTTAGCTATACGTATAACGCAGGTGTTGTTGTGGGTACCTCCGTGTTCCTGGGGACTCCCACATACCCCTGCTGCCTACCCCCAAGGCGGCAAGGGATCCATAAAGGATGTTTCCCACGTAAAAAAAAGAAGTTTATACTTTCGTAGAGACAAGCATTAAAGTAACAGGAAATTTCAAAATGTTCTCATTTCATTTCAGTTTGTTTCAATTTCTACTGACCGTCAAAACCCTTACAAAAACGCAAACAATTAATCGGGGGCACCTGGAAATGTGGACTGGACACGCATTTGGCCAGCTGCCGGAACAGGGGGTCCATGATCTTCTGGAACTCTGACGGCTCGATCACGTCCAGTATCTCCTCCATCTCGTTGAGGAACATCACCTCCTTAGGCGAGTGCGTCTTCGGCCAGTACTTTAACAGCGCCCTGCGAAAGAAACGAAGAGTTTTTATTTTTATCGCACTAGTAGCTGCCCGCGACTTGCATGTGTCGGCAGAAAGTTTTTTATGTGCTCAAAATTAAACTATATTAAAGTTTTTTAAAATTTAAATAGAGTCGTCAAGATAAAAAGTATTGACGCCATATCTCTTTTAATGTCCGAGCCATTCATTATGACTTATCTAAATATAAAAAAACATCTATGGAAAAACATTGTTCCATATATACGTATATAATCATTTTACTAAGGGCATGGAAAAGAAGAAGGAACCAACATACATACAAGGGCGAAGTAAATTTTGAGATTTCACGATATTGTTTTTGCGATGGTAAACCGCGTAAGGAACAGAAAATTAGAGATTGAGAAAAAAGAAACGAAATAGAAGCTTCAGGTGGATAAATCGGTTATAATCTATGGTAATTTAAAATTTTTGTAGTTAAATGAACCAAAACTTTCGGATTCGAACATGCGTCATCAAATTTCGCGCCCAGCCTAGCTAAGCGGCAAATAACCTTACGGCGCGAAAACCTTTACTATTTCTTTCTACATTCTTTACCTTACAATTCTACATTCTACAACGATTCACAATTTAAAATTTCACTCCGAGTGCAGAGGCTGGCATTAAAAGTGAAAAAAATAAATATAGATTTAAAAAAAAAAATCCGTGGTGACAATCACCTGACGACGGGCTGCGTCAGCGATGGGTCCTTCTCGAGGAACTGGACGACGCAGTACGCCAGCTGGGGATGGTACACCGACAGCGATTTCGCCTTGTGCAGTGGCAGCAGCACCTGGCGGGCGGAAAGATAAGGATAGGGGTTCGATTCTCGAGACGGAAAATTAAAAAAAATAAAATTAACTCTCTTCCCAGTGTGACGACGGCAAATCCAATGGCCAAAACTAAGCGAGGAAATATAGGGTAGATTTAAGTGCTGACTTGCTCGGCGGCGCAGAACATCGTATTTTTAAGAAAGGACAGCATATTTTCGAAATAATAGCTATAAAAGAAATTCGAAAATTTTTTTTTATGTCAAAAGTTGCCAAGCGAGCAGACGGTTCACCTGATGTTAAGTGAATACCGCCGCCCATGGACATCTGCTACACCCGTGGGTTCCAGATGCGTTGACAGCCTTTTGAAAATTGGGCTTAATAAAGTCCGACAATCCGCAGTGGGGTCGCGAGGTGGACTATATCCCGAAACGCTCTTTAGACGAGGCCTTTGCCCAGCAGTGGGACATTTGTGGGCTGTTACTTTATTTTACTATTTATTTATTTATAAAAGATTTGCTTAGTGTTTATGAAAGCTTAATCATTACGTTTATCCGTGATTTATTTCTAAATGATTTCTTAGTATTTTTGTTAATGCCACTTCGTTTTTTTTTATATTTATTTTATGCGTGTCAAATGTTTATCCGTTCTTTAATTTCTATTATTTTCGGCCCTTGCGGTGTTAACCCACCCTGAGCAGGAACATCTTGTGCTCCTCCTTGAGTGGCAGCGCGAAGCCGTTGATGATGGAGCCGAGGATCTCGAGGAGCTCGGCGATGCCGTTGTGGTGCTCCGTCTCGTAGATGAACCTGGAACAGTTCCTTTCTTATGCGGGAACGTGGCAAGAAGGTGGCGGGTTCGCAAGATGTTAAGCGATAACCGCCGCCCACGCACATTTGCAACGCCCGTAGGGTTAACGATTCGTTGCCGCCTTTTGATAAAGTAAAGGCGTGGTAAAGGCAATAAATTGACAAATAAATGAAAAATTTTATCTCATCGTTGACGAAGAGCAATTAATTCTCTTCGTCAACTTCAAAGTGTATAGTTTGCTCCCAGAAGTTCGTCTTTCACTAATTATTTAATACTTGATTTAGAAATAACTTTCATCATCATCAGCGTTATTTAAAAAAAAAAATAGAATATACATATATGACCCCAGAGTTTCTTGCCGGTTCTTCTCTTGCAGGTCTAGTTTAGTGAACCGGTGGTAGTTTTTGACGTTCAATAAGCCTATGTTGAATAGAGAAATTTTGACTTTGATTTGCTATATTTATTGATTTCTTGTTTTTATGCGAATATTATACATATTGAATGTAACTATATAACGAATTTTATTGCGTTTTAATTTTCGTGACGGGGCAGATAGGTCGGTCCCAACCAAAATGAAATGATGAACTTTGAAAAAGATTCTAAACATCGGGAATTAACATTTTAAGTCCTTGAATAACAGACGCTGAAGACGTAACAAGTGATCGTTTTGAAATAATGTTAAGAATTTAAAAAAAAGAAAAAGATGACATGTACATAATTACGTTAAAGGGGCTTACACATACAGCGACTTGTCATACCACTTATCGAATTCAGGGATATAAACACGCCACTACTTGTTCTCTCAATGAACAGTCAACAGGTCGGCTAACACTCACCTGTAAAACACGTTATTGATCTGTTTCCTTATGTAGGCGCGGAGAACTAAGAATTTCCCGTATATCCGGTGGAGTGTGGTCTTCAGGAAGTCCCGCTCGCGCGGATCCTCTGTGTCGAATAGATCCAGCAACTGCAGAAAAAATCACAATCAAACGTTAGGTTGGGATCAAAGCCGTAATTAAAATTTTTGATAACCACGAAATTCTTCATTTTTTTTTACAACCAATGCACCTACTTAAAACTTCTCTGGACCACCCAAAGGTTGACTGGTAGATAATGCTGATGGCATTAAGTCCGCCTCTGTACATATTTTGTGTGCATGAAGTATAAATAAATAAATAAAATAAATTCATAAGGGACCATCAGACAACAGTTGGGGAGAGTTCTCGTATATTTTAACGACTTCAAAAAAGGAGGTTTTACTCGTGTGTGAAGAAGATGAGTCACTACAGTAGGCTATGTCTGCTATTAACTGTGGTAGAGCCACGCAACAGTCTTCGCTGTTGTACGAATGGGCATGTCCGTCCGGGTAAATACCAAGGTAGCCGGGTCCCACATCATTAAAAGGTTTGCAACCGTCCGCATCTGCAACCCTAAGGGCGTTACAAATGTCAATAGGCGTCGGTTATCAGTTAACATTTGGTGGTACCGCCAGCTCGCTTGCCACATTCTCACATACCTCAATTTTGCCGTTGACCGTACATGGATTATCACTTATCTAAACAGTTGAAGAACTCGATTATATACTTCTCAAGACAAACTGCCTCCTTAAGATATGCTCTTAACCACTTGTTGTAATGTTGCAGACGATCGAATTCAATACTAAACAACTTGTGGAAGTTACACAATCATTTGACTGAACGACATGATCAAGGCATGTGAGTGAGATGCGACGAAGAAGGCGTGGGCACCTCACCTGCAGCACGAACTTCTGATCGATGTACTTCTTGGCGATGTTCGGCTGAAAGTCCGGCGACTCGAGCAGCCGCAGGAACAGCTCGTAGACCAGCTGGAGGTGCGGCCAGGCCGCCTCCAGGGTCGGCTCGTCCTCCTCGGGGTCGAACTCCGCGCCGTTCGGGTTCGAAGACGGCGGCAGGGTGCGGAAAAGGTTGATGGCGAACTGTTGGCGAAATTGTCTGTGAGGTCTCGCGTTGGTTTTTCGCGGGGAACTATTGGTGGGCGAACTGTTGGCGAAATTCGTCACGCTGTGAGGTCTCGCGTTGTTTTTTAGAAGGATCTATAAAGTATGGAGGAGTACGCTCGAGATTCTCGCATACGGAATAGGAAGATTTAAATAGACTAGTCATCGATGTTCCACCTTAATGGTGTAGTTTCAGCAGAGGTTAGAGAGCGTTTTCTGATTTCCATACACGTTACGCAACCGTAAGATTATGTTGGACAGCGCGCGTCACCCCGACTTCAAAGATAAATAATATGCTTATTGGAAGTTCGTACAAAACACCTAATTTATCATCTACTTCGTATATAATCGACTATTCGATGAGTTAGACCCGATGAATTAAGCGATCCGCTGTGTAGATTTGAAAGCCACCGGCGATACTTGCGAAGAACGGAGTACCGTTCTTCCCAAGTATCACCGTACCGTACTCAACTGCCCCATAAAACATTCGAAAGTTAACCAATGAACGACCTTGTCGTGGGGTCAGGGTGGAAAGGTAGCCCGTGGATGACCTTGTCATGGGGTCAAGGTCACGCCTACGGCACGCCGCTTACCATGTTCACCGCCTCCGGGTATATGGCCTCCGTGATGACGCCGCGCTGCGACGTGACATACTCGACCATCTCCAGCAGCGCGGCGCGCTTCACCTCCTTCCATTTGAGGTCCGACAGGGGCTCGTCGGCGAAGTCGAACAGCAGGCAGCACTGGCGCAGCTTCTGCACGAACAGCTGCTCACGCTCCGCTGCCGGTGCGTCTGAAGACAGAAAAAAATTAAAGTCAAACTCTCAAGACCTAAATGATTTTCTTTTTAACCGACTTCGAAAGGAGGAGGTTCTCAATTCGAGTGTATGTTTTTTTATGTTTGTTACCTCTGAGGTACTTTTGACTGAGTGACCGATTTTGATTTTAGTGATTATTATTTTTTTTCAAAGCCGGTGCTTCCCGTGTGGTGCCATATTAATTTCATTGGTATTGGACCTTGGGCTCCGGAGATACTTGGTAAAATCAATTATAAAATGAATACAGACCGAGATATTTGAAGTTTTCGTTAGTAAAAAAACGGTTACTTGATAATATTGATTTTTGAGATTTTCGTTGGACTTTTGAACGGTCAAAGGTTGCATAATCATTTTATCTATGCAAGAGGAGCTTACGTTATCTTGAAGTATTACTACCTAGATCGGACCAAATATGGACATTTTGGACGATAAAAAATCTGTATGTCCCGTAAAGGGGAACTAATAAAAATCTAACTAACTTCGGGAATTATAATCAAAAATTAAACGCAAAAAACACAAATCATATCAGCTAGCAACCAGCGATTCGGCATAATGTTTGAGGTTCAGGGCCAACATAAAGGTAAAGATTTTAGACAATTTAAAAGTAAGTGAAGTACACCTGCCTCGAAAACAAAGAAGCAAGGATTTATCTTCTATGTCCGACGATTTTCATTGAAGATTGTCATACTGATTATATTGTTATTCAAGTTCTCAAGGGACGGGATAGAATGAGACAGTTGGTGTTATAAATTTTTAAGTAGAGTCAGTTAAAATTATTCATCACGACCTTTGGATCGCTTTACAGGATATTGTTCGTGTCCACAGAAGACTTAAAGTATAAGAACTGTAAATAAGTTTCATCTAGCAATGATGTTTTTTTTACATTCAATTTCTATTTACTACGAGTTTACCGTTTAAAGACCACTGTTAATTGTGAATTTTACGTGATTTATTTTCATTTAATTAATTAACTATTCCGCAAAGTAAATAAGATACAGCTTCATACAGTAATCTCGTACGATTTATTATAGACCCTGAGGTCACGGTAAAGATTATGGCGTAGTAAAACTCTTATAACTATACGAAACCGACTCCATAGATCTTGGTATCTAATAAATGATGACCGGTCCCCACAGCTATGAATAAGATCGGTAATACTGTATTATAAAGTATCGGGTTCAAAGAGTCGAGTTTTCTAAGCGGATCCGCAGAGTGGGTCGACCGCAAATGGAATCCGTTATGTCACAGATAAAAAAAATGTTGCCGATGCAAATTCGCTACGAATCCTTCTACAGACTGGATAGACGCAATGAAATATAGACTTAACGGTGATAGATTATTATTAAGAGTATCGATGGTTTGACAAAGTACGAAATTTACTTCAAATGTATGCACATTACACTCGATCTGTAAAAGGAACGAACATTTTGTACGGAAAAGACTATTTGATTAGGCTTATTGATGCTATTGAACCTACTTTATTTTGACTACTTAAAAAAAAACGCGGTGCAAGAACCAGAAAATCTGCAAGACCCATGGATTTGCCGAGGTGACCTCTTATGCCGTCGCAGTTAACCGATGATCATACATGAAACCAGACCTTCATAATAGAATTGAATAAATCCTAAATCCAATAAAGATTTGTTGACTTTCACTTTCCGGTATCACTTTTTTGGATCCAATTTTCGGTACTCGTGTTTGACCTTTATGGTTTATAATGTTTGTAATTTCCAATTTTCTCTTTGTAATTTCTTTCTTAAGTTTAAATTAAGCGCGGGTTTACTCGCAGAAACCTATCGTGTAGTAAACGTGGGTTACAACGAATCGTTGATTCGATTCCTGCGAAGAGTGTTCAATAAACCAAATTTCCTTTTCCGTTTTTCGTTTTCGTTCCGTGTCCTGTGATTTCTATCTAATGGTAGAGATATGTTTATTTTAAATATGGATGTACAAGTTCGAACACCGTCTATTTTCTATATGAATACTCCAATACTATTATAGTTATTTTAAACTCAGTATTTCTTATGTTTGCTCTACACACCGAAACAGCTGAAAGCTTAAGCAGTAGATTAACACGTAAGAATGCTTCCTTTAGGTAGTGGATAGTTCCATATGGTAACCTGGTGTTGCTTAAGTTGTACCATTAATTCCTGGTTTGAAGACCCCACATTATATAGTTTCGATATCATGTTAAGACGTATACTTAAGAGACCAGGGGCAATGCGTCTGTTGCAAAAATTCAATCGGAAATAACAGTAAACAAGACATGTATAACTTATACGGAACTATCCCACATTCCGGCAGTATAATTAAAAGCATGATTATCGCTTATGTCATTAGTCTAACGCAGACTTCAAGGAGTTAGCGAACGAGAGGTATCGGTCCGGAAATACCGCTGGCAACATCTGATACCACAACTTGGTTGTGCGTGGCAGCAAATTACGTAAAAAAAGTGGCAGATCGAGGTACTAGTGATGGTGGTGGATTTGGCAGTTTGACTCGTTGTACGTTGATGAAACTCACAGCAGTCCTTGCGGTAGATGCGATAAATCATGCAAAGAGATTTAACATCTCTTCGCAAGGGTTGAGGTGCTTGGAAAGTGCCTAATCGGAGATGAAACATCTCTTCGAAAGACCTAAGCGTCGAGACGATTTGAACGGACCCGGTCGCCGGAGATTCCAGCACCTCTACGCTGGATGCGGTTAATTTTTTTTCTTTTTTTTATGCGAAAAGTTGTCAAACGAGCAGACGGTTCACCTGATGTTAACTCAATACCGCCGCCCATGGACATCTGCCACACCCGAGGGTTACAGATACGTTGACAACCTTCTGAAAATTGGGCTCCGGCTACCTCACTCACCAGACGAAACGTGAAAGTATTTGTCATACTTCCACTTTACGCTGGTCTTCTGTGAGGTCGTGGTACTTACCCGGACGGGCCTGCCCATTCGTGCAACAGCCGAGGCTGCTGCGTGGCCCTACCACCGTAATAAGTAGTGGAAGGAGTAATGGAAGGAGCTGGTATTAGGGCGTCTCAGCACGGAGATGAGAACAGTATTAGTAACAGTTAATTACTCTAAAAAGAGTGAGGTTGGGCACGCGACACTGGACATCAAACGCACTACCTGATATCAATGTCCCGACATCTTTGTTAGTAAAAGATTTCAATACGCTCAACCGTAACGTTCTCTCCTAATTTGCGAATATAGTAAATATATAAGAGACGCGAATTGGTTCACAATCCTGCCTTTATTCGGTCCACACCGCTAATTCTGTTAGCCGGTCGTCACTAATGTAATCCTGACAAGCCGCCTTTTACTAGCTCGAGCTGATGTATCTGATTAGTAGTCCTAGGCGGTATGTATGATTTTTAGTTACAGTGGCTTACCAATAGGTAAGTACAACAGTAGAGTTGACGGTATAGAATACTATACCGTCAACTCTACTGTTCCCCATGTAAAAGAGTTTTTTTTTTGTTTTTAAGTTTGACCTAGCTAGCCATATCAGAGCTCATAATAGGGCAAATCCGTAGCTGCTAAATCGATGAGGAGGATCATATATTTATACCGTCACCTAATGTCACCCAAGATGCGCCCGCTGCAAGTGTAACTGGTCGACAAAACGGGCTCATTCTTGGAATAAATTTAAGAATTTGAAGAGCATGATGTGATGTGTTCTCTTTAAATACGCCGAAAAAAACAAAAGGAAAAACATACTACGGTGTATCTTATATAATTATATTGAAAGATTGTTTAAACGAAAATTTTACACTCTTTGTTCAGAATAATGGCAGTATCTTCAAAAGTTCTTTAAATATTTACCTAACTAGCTTTATAGTTAACCATTAATGTTATTTACTACTTGACACATGCGATTTCTTCTGCGTTGCTTATTATATTGACAATGTGTTTTGTCTAACACAATAAAAAATATATCACTGTACACGTATTATGCATATTAGTGTCTATAAAAATCATAGCTTCTTAAAGCTGTAATAAATGTATAACTTTACATTAAATGAAGATGTTACATTTTTTTTATTAGATAAGGGCTAAGTGTGTAAGAAACAAAACTTAGAAGGATTGAATTGATTTATCGAGTAGTTTTCCGTTATTCGAGTAGTTTTTACCGATGTATCGGCAGGCGGTTGTGATGTTACAATACATTTGACAAGTGGTCGCAATGTGACAAAATAAAGAAAAATCTCGGCTTGGTTACGTAGGTGGTATAAACGATGCTCAAGATCTAATTAATCGCTAGTCCGTTATAAAAGTGCTAGACTAGAGACTCGTTATTGTACTGGATTTTATATTTATTGATTTATTAATTATTTCTATATCGTCAAATACTTGTACATATAAGTAAGACATGACATAGCATCCTGACGTTAGTCAGTAATATATTTGCGATTTTTTTTAATTGAACGAGAGTAACATCGTTTAGACGAGACGAACAACTTGTACATCTACAGAAATTGTCCTCTATAGTGGTCAATTATAAATGAGAAAGGTGTAAAACAAATGTGGAATATATACCGCTATCACTTTCATCATTATCATTATCGTCCCCATTTCAGCCTGTTTTAGTCAAGACATAGACCCAAGTTAACTATGCTAACAGTTAATTTTCTACTTCAATCTTCAAGATTTCATCGAACGAATAATATGTAAGCCCAACGACATCGAAATGACAGAGGCATTTGAAAAAAAAAAATCACTCTAAACGTGCCTAGATGCTTCCTCTGGCAGAAGGACCGTCGAGCGTCAAAAACTGGAGTATTGAGTCATTATGCTACGCCACCGCCTTCATTCGCGCGTGCAAAGTGAACTAGTTTTTGTCGAGCCGCAAATTGTAAAGGTCCGCTCGAGTCAAACGAGATCTCTCGTCGCCATTTACATGCATGTCGACGGTTGACCAGCTTCAGAGCCTCTTAAATCCATTAATAGAAATATTTAGATCGATTCAAGGTTTGAATAGATCGATGGCTCTGGACGTGTTATAATATGAAGTTATCAATTCTATTAGTGCCATTTTAGGACACGGAAATCTGAGACTCTTTCAATTGGAGGGAAATCATGCAAAGTCATGAAAACAAATCAACACTCTTTTAGCAATTCGTTACGACTAAAATGGGTCACCATAAGCAATCACCGGACTGTATCAATGGAACAGCACGCGATCGAATGAAGAGCACATTGGGAACGATTGCATAAATGAATGGATCGCTGAATTCATTCATTCGCTTAATATATCTTTGTCCATGAACTGTGGTAGGACCTCGCAACAGTGTTTACTGTTGCACGAATGGGCTGGTCTGTCCAGGTAAGTACCACAATTTCACAAAAGATCGGCGTAAAGTACAATTGTTACACTACTGCGTTTCGTGTGGTGAGGGAGGTAGCCGGGGCTCACTTTATTTATAGGTGGAAACGCATTTGCGACCCTACGGGTGTTGCAAATGTCCATGGGCGGTCGTTATCACTTAACATCAGGTGAACCAACAGCTCGTAATTTGTCTTTAATTTGTATTATAATTAATTGATAATATTGCTATTACAATAATTTATAACAATGTCGAGTATCCGTAACGAACTTGAGCTGTAGAAGTTGCGAACGAAGATCTTTAAAACTACGCGACGGATCTTTTTAAAGGATATGCAACATACAAGATATACAAAGATAGATTTTTTTTACTAGATAGAGGGATTCAAGAGAAAGGTTTATACGTATATTAATATAGGTCGCTAGTTTCGGATAAATAATAATCATAAAAATGACATAACATGTAAGTGCGAAACATAGGGTGGGGCATGCGTCCTTATATGTTTATAGAAATTCAGTACATATTTTATAGCGGGAGGTGGCATCTTTTCTCGTTGTTGGGGCAAGAACGGATTTAACGGTGGTAGGGCCACGCAGCAGCCTCGGCTGTTGCACGAACGGGTAAGTACCACAACCTCAGAGGAGACCGGCGTAAAGTGGAAGTTTAGTACTTTCGCGTTTCGTCTGGTGAGTGAGGTAGCCGGAGCCCAATTTCCAAAATGGTGAAAAAACCCTCGGGTGTAGCAGATGTCCATGGGCGGCGGTATTCACTTAACATCAGGTGAACCGTCTGCTCGTTTGGCAACATAAAAAAATAGAACTGGCTACTGCTGTTTTATAAAGATAACTTGTCCCGGAAAGTACCAGGGCCTTAAAGACGGCCGGAGTATAATGAAACTATTATAATTTAACGTTTCGTCCAGTAAGGTGACAAGTACTCTCTTTGCAACAGACTTCAAAAAACCAGGCGGTTCTCAATACCTTTTTTTGTTTGTCACTTCAGAACTCCGTCATTTATGAACCGATTTAAAAAAAAAATCTATTAAATTGGGTTCGGTGGTTTAGCTCCAATGTGCCTCTAACATTTGACTCATTGTTATTTTTAAATAAAAATGTTTGAAAGCTGACAAAGCATCCGTATCTTTACATAGTGTGTCAATAACACCTGATATTCATTTGAATACAGAGGGAAAGACAAAATTTGTTACTTATATGTTTGTGTTTATCGATTGTAAGTTATCCGTACAAGCGCTCTTGACGGCATGAATTTATCACGACTATATTTTAAAAATATTCGCGGATCCCACACAATGTAAACAGACCACGACCGAAATAGATTATTCCGAATACACTTTCTGACCGTTAACAGATAACAACAGCCGTCAGTCTCGGAACGCGTGATCCCTGTCCAAACAACTCGAGAAAATGTACACAGCGTGTGATCTAAATTACCGGTTAGCGGAGTTAATCCGCCGTTAAATTGAGCGTATACGAGATAAATCGGGCACCGGTGGAGTGTTCGCGTTGAATTTTTACCGACGGTGCCTAATTTTCACGCATCGTTCGCACCGGTCGGCGGTAGCCTATGGTGTTACGATGGGTCGATACATTTATGCGTAGTTCTCGCCGCTCGCCGACACGTGCACCGGACACTTATAGGACCTGTTAGTCATGCGCTCCTGCCGTGCCGCTGGGGGGGTCGGCGCGGCGTCCGCCCAAGGTTATGCCGGCGAGGCGTGGGCGACAAACTTGCGTATAAACAGAACCGCGTACAGGGAGCGTGTATGCGATACGAACGGACGGGGAAAAAAGCGTGGCGTTGGTGACCTTTGAGCAGGGGCAGTTGGACCATGAGGCTCTCCTTGTCAGGCGGCCGCTCCGGCGAGCGGGCGACGGGGGCCGGCGGGGAGCGCGGGCCGGGGGGCGAGGGGGGCTTCTGCGGCGGCACCTGGCCCTCCATGGCGGCGCCGGCTAGGGCGAAGCGGAACGCGCGCGCCACGTCAGACGCGCTATCCGAACGCTTGGCCACCTGGCTCGCGACCAGGTCGAGGCCCGAGTGGAACGAGGGCGACTTTGGTATGCCGAGGGGCGAGACGGCGCGGCGCGGCTTTGCCTCAGCGGCGGCGAACATCGCTCGCGCGGCCTGCCCGGCGTGGACCATCGCACGCGGCGGCCGGCAGCGGCATCCGAGCGGGAGCCGGCGGCGCCGGGACCGGTGCGAGCTGCGGGGGCGGCCGGACTGCCGCGCGACGCCGCCCGACGGCATGCGCGCGCACCACCACACCCCCCCTCGGCCGCACCCCGCGCACCTCTCCGCCGTGGCCCATACGCCCCGCGCACGCAATCTCTCCGTACAACCACCACCCCCCCGTAGGGCTGCCACCGGATTTACGTATCCGCGGCGCTCGTTCGTGCGACGTCGCGTAGCGGAAATAAATTCGCCGTCTGCCGCACGAGCTTTTATCAACGATCTCGACGCGGAGAGAAGCGGTACAACGTGGGTAAGATATACGTGGGATGTTTAAGTACCACGAGGCGTTACAAAAGTATGAAACACGGTTTAGTTAATAAGAAACCACAGACTGACTTACAAACAACTAATCATAAATGTACAGTACATTACTCGGTGCAGATGATGTAAAAAGCTGACATTATATCGACGCGAAGCAGGCTTGCGATATCCCTATCATTGTCTATACTAAAAGCTTCGTGCAAATCAAAAAAGTTTCTACATCCATCCATCTTTCTCCCCCAATCTGTCCAGACTTGAGCAATCGAAAAACATTACTCCGCCGATACATTCATACCACTTCCCAGAACAGAGCGGGGTGCGTTGTAGTTGGTTTGGCCCGAAGGGTGATGCAGCCCTTGTACGGGGGGATGACGCTTTATATAAACCAGACGACCCCCTTCGTTACACCATCGATCGCTTTAATGGACCTCAAATTGTACGAATCACTTCCTCGGCCGCCGATTGTTCGCTGTATGCCAAAAGGGTTATCGTAATATCTTTACATACCGTAACGTAGATTACAATTAATGTAAACAGTACATGTCTTCCTAAAGAATGTGAAACAATTCTCACAATGCCGTTTCAACACCCAGTATTTATCATTCTATTTGTTTTATGTTCTTAATATGGACTGATGTAGAGTAAGATTGTAAGATCTTTATGCCACAGCCGCCAATATGGTATGTACAAATCAAAAATATATAGCATCATATGATAGAAGCCTAGACTTCATCGCCCCTATATCACTCCACAACCACTCCGAGTAGCCGAAATGCCATTTGCTTATATTTATATGGAAGGCTGTATACCTATTCCATGAAAATATTTTCAACAAATACATGCAAATAGCGAAATTTATAGATAAACTAACAGACCCAACAGAGATCGTATACCCGCTTCTTAAATAGGACTATTTATATTAAAAAAACCGGCCAAGTGCGAGTTAGACTGGCGCACAAAAGGTTCCATACCATTATCTATAAAAATGACAAAAAATCATGTCATTCATGTGTTGTATGGGAACCCCTCACTTAAATATTTTTTATCCTTTTTCTTTTTAATATTTGTTGTTATAGCGGCAACAGAAATACACCATCTGTGAAAATTTCAACTGTCTAGCTATCACGGTTCATGAAATACAGCCTGGTGACAGACGGACAGGGAGACACAGACAGACAGACAGCGAAGTCTTAGTAATAGGGTTCCGTTTTACCCTTTGGGTACGGAGCACTAAAAATAATTAGGAACATAATTGAGAGATTTTCTGCCGATTTGTGAATCTAAACAATTCTCGAATCGACTTGAACACACAAAAAAATTTAATCAAAATAGGTCCATGCCTTTAGCGACTCTATTGTCTTCGACCCTCGATCTAACCAATGCTACCAAGAATTACTGAAACGCGAGTTTAGGGTTCTACAGTGTTATATTCAGTCAATGAGTAATATGTCTATTTAATTTAGACTCCGTGTCGCAGTCACCAAGGTATCCGGCTTCGGCGGCGAGGGTCATTAATTCGATTCCGACAGGGGACAAGTCTTTGTGTGCCCGAGAAATAATTATTCCGGATCTGGGTGTTTGTTCCCAAGGCGGGTGGACATTACACAGGCGGCCGGTCTTAAAATAATTATTTTTTTTATTAACGAAAAACAAAACCGACTTCAAATATCTCGCTCTGTATTCATTTTATTATCAAGATACAATACCGATGAAATTAATATGGGACCACGTGGGAAGCACGAGCTAAAACGAGGTTAAAAAAAAGAATCATCAAAATCGGTTCACTCAGCTGAAGGTTCTGAGGTAACAAACATAAAAAAATAAATAAAAATACAGTCGAATTGAGAACCTTCTCCGTCTTTGAAGTCGTAAAAAATACATAAAAAAACAGCCAAAACCACTTGCAACATAATTCACGCTGTGCCAACCCCGACTATGATGAGGGCAGGAGGATGACGATGATCGGGAAAGAGAAACGTGTACATTTCTGTCTGTTCCAAAATGCACAGCGACATTCGAATCGAAACAATAACAAGAAGCCAGCCATACAAATCGATAATTCGCTGTCCGCATAGTCGAAAAGAGAATTAAAATCAGAATAGTGCCCTCGGGCAGTCTGCGAGATCAATAAATGCGACACACAACGCAACGAACACGTGGCGCCTTGGCATGCCAGACAGTCCCGATGTCGTTCCCGTTCGTTCGCCGTCTATACTAGTACACCATTCATAATCTAAATAATAATCGTGGACGGAAACACGTGTAAAGCTAAAGACGTATAAATATTTCAGGATACGCTTTTATACAACGCTTGCTTAGTTTGGTAATACAGAATTCCCAAACTAAGTCAAGTCAAAGTCAAAGTCAAATATCTTTATTCAATATAGAAGCATTCACTTACTTATTGATAGTCAAAAAACTCTACCACCGGTTCGGAAGGTAAGCCACTGACCTGAGAAGAACCGGCGTAAGAAACTCAGCGGGACATTATTTTTTTTTACTTGCCAAAAAAATTACAAATATGTGTACAATTATTAAACTCCACTTGAAAGAGCCTGGAGCGATCAATTCGTTTCCAGAGTGTGTTATCATTCATATAATCACTAATACTATAACAGCCATTAAGACACAAACGTTCCGTTACAAGTTTTTTGAATTTAGCAACGGATTCATTTTGAACGTTTTCTGGGATTTTGTTGTAAAAGCGTATACATTGTCCCATAAAAGATCTACTTATTCTACGCAATCTAGTTGAGGGTAGAACTAATTTATGCTTGTTCCTAGTATTTACATCATGCACATTACTAAATCTTGAAAAGTCATTCTTATTTTTGTGGACATACATAACATTAGCAAGTATGTACTGAGAAGCTACAGTCAATATTTTTATTTCTTTAAACAGGTTTCTTAGTGAGTCTTTGGGGCCCAGGTTATAAACCGCTCGAATAGCTCTCTTTTGCAGGATGAAAATAGTATTTATGTCGGCTGCATTTCCCCAAAGTAGAATGCCATAAGACATTATACTGTGGAAATAGCTAAAATATACCAGACGAGCCGTATCCACATCAGTCAACTGTCTAATTTTTTTGACTGCAAAGACGGCTGAGCTAAGTCTACTCAACAGTTTATTAATATGGGGGCCCCACTGCAATTTGACATCTTCAGTTATGCCAAGAAATACAGTCGAGTCAATGAGGTCTAACGCTTCCCCATGTAAAAGTACATCAGTTTTTACACTTTTTACGTTGGGAGTTGTAAATTTAATACATTTCGTTTTTTTACTATTCAACATTAAGTTATTAGCACTAAACCAATGCACTACAGTGGAGAGAGTATTGTTAACGTCGTCATAATTTGAAGAATGTCGTTTAACTTTAAAAATTAAAGAAGTATCATCAGCAAACAATACTATCTCATGATCATCATTTACAAGATAGGGCAGGTCATTTATGTAGATGAGGAAGAGAAAAGGCCCCAGAAAAGATCCCTGTGGAACCCCCATACTTACCAGGGCCCCGGGAGATCTCTTGCCATTCACGTCAACTCTCTGAACACGATAGCTGAAGTACGATGTCAGAAGATTGAGTGCGGCATCTCTTATACCATAGTGGTGTAGTTAGCATCGCTTTTGTAATACCCGACGTTTCTAAACCCTTTCTAGCGTTCATGATATGGGGACTGTCACAGAAAATCTGTCTCGTGACCATGAAAGGGTTATACATTATGCAACGTTGTCTAAAATTAATTATAAATTTAATATACCTACATGGAAAACTAAATAATAATAAAAATAAAAACTACCTAAACATTGTAGATACAAATTGCTTAACTGATCTAACAGATCGATCTCCGTCGTGTACACTAGCTCCGCGCCGCAATGAAATTATGCCCGGTTCCTATATTCGACGAACGGTCGTTAGTTACATAGTTTCGTAACTTTCATAGCGACTTATTGATTAAAGGAACGCTAGTAACTCACTTTCCGTTGGTAGTGCAACGGCTACTAAGTTTAACGCCCCGTTTTGTTAATATAGGAACCGAGCATAATCACGCTCAAAGACGTCAGCCCTTCGGGTTCACTGCTAAAGCGAACCCGAAGCGCTGACGTCTTTTCTTAAAAAATAATAAGCTAAACACGTAATTCGTTGGTCTAAGAGGACGAATTCGTGGATATAGGAAGGTTAAGCTCCAAAAATATAAAGGTGACCGAAAAGGGTCGTTATATATACACTATAGTGAGTACATTTAATATGTTCAATTTACTTTAAATTACTCACCTTTGAAAAATAAACGTAGTAGATTGGATTTATTCATAATTGCTGCTCGCCATTCCTCTTCAATTATCTTAGAGACAATAATATCAAGGTCCTTGTCGGACTTTGCTTGAAACTTATAATTACGTCACACTTCGTTAACTAACTTCTGTAAATTTAGTACTTTTGTATTTGCATGAGATTTTTTAAAACTTTCGAACAATTTTTGGTATAACTTGGATTTGTCTATTTGAAACGAAATCTCAAACAAATTCAACTTTGGCGAAAGAGGATCAACGGTAACACGAAAATTAATTTGCTTTGCTTTGCTTATAACAAGTCAAATCGTCAATCGCACCGAAACGAAACAATAGATTGACGAAAGAAATTTGACCAGTGAGTAGCGCGTTCATTATTTGTGGGAATCCCCGAATATGTGTTTGGTTTTCGAGCATAGACAATGTATGGGTTGCCAATGTGTAAAAAAAAATAACTACTGTGACGTAATCACCATCTCGACGCCCCACCCCCATAATATAGTGCTTACATAATACTTGAACGGCCTCTAGGCAATACTCTGGGCTCTGCTAACTTTTTTAACGGACTCTGATGCTGGTCGGTAAATAACAAACGCAAAAAGAAAAAGCTAAAAATTTACAAATCCAATTACGGGCATGTCACCGAGTGTAGCGAGTTCACAATTTTCCAATAAACAAATTCGCCAGAGCGAGTGTCCAGCACTTACCGCGCGCATAAGCGCGTACATACGCGGAATGTAATTTCTATTCCTACAAATTACAAATAATGTACACAGAGTAACAATGTACACAAATCTACATGCGGCCTTGTGTCGGTTCTATCTGGAGGAGCGTTTTATAATGCGCAATAGCGAACTCGGTTCCGCTATCTTATCGCGGCGCCATCGTGGAAATCAAAATTGGACAGTGTGAATGCTTTATAGTACACGACGCGGGCAATTACTTAAATCAATGCACGCCCAAAGCGTTCGCCTCATTCGTTTCGACTTAGGACCAAACCAGGAACATCTAACCGATCCTAACCGCACATTCTGGTAGCTAGAAGTACTTATCTTCGTGGAGCATAATTCAAATGATAAGTTATTAAAATATAATATATATCATCTAATTTATAAAATTCTTGTGTCACAGTTTTAGTGTGAAATTTTATATGTATATGCAGTAGGTATGAGAATAGGTTTATAACTAATTTTTATACCCCTAACTGTTAAAAGTGGCTCACCCTAAAAAGGTTTTTTTTTTAATTTTTTGGACAAATTTTATTTCAGTTATTTTTTATGGTGTGGCATTAGAAAATCCCAAAATCCCAGCTACGGATCTGCTGTTGTGAGAAAGGGCGGGCTTAACGGAATTGGAATTGGAAGACTGACGTGAAGTGGTTGTATTTCGTATCTGCAACCCTAAAGGCGTTGTAAATATTGGCAGCGGTATGTGTGGCGGTAATTGTTCAATGGCAGGCGAACCGCTTCATTTCTTGCCACCTTTTCACATAAAAAAGAACTACTGTTGTGGGTAATGAAAACTTCATGTCTTCAACTATATTTATAAACAGCAAATAAAAATGTCGTCTTACCAAGGGTAAGACGATATTTTTATTTGTGTGGTTTAATTAAACCTAGTTTTAATAAATTCACCAATATCTTATTAATCAAAATACACGAATATATTCATTATTTTAGCCATGTATGTCAATTGTAGAAGAATGGCGACTGAATGTCGGGCCAGGATCGTGACATCGAATAAGTAATTGCAATGGGCGCCGACGAGATCATACTTGATCTCCTAAGTAAGAATTATCCAGGGATACAATGTATTAAATAAATAAATAATAAATAAATAAATACTTTAGGACACATTTTTACACAACATTCTTTAGTCCCAAACTAAGCAAAGCTTGTACTATGAGTACTAGAAAACTGATAAACATACTTAATCATACTTTTCTTTTGTAAATAAATACATATTATACATATATAAACACCCAGACACTAGAAAAACACTATGTTCATCACACAATATTTTTCCAATAGTGGGGATCGAACCCACACCCTCTGGCACAGGAGGCTGGTACACTACCCACTACGCCATTCGGGTCGTATTAATTATTAAGCTTTAATATTTATGTCAAGCTCATTTCGAGTGGCCGAAATTTGTCGCGATACCGGATTCAAAACGGTCGGCGAATTTCGGAAAAAACAAGCAAAGAACGGCGAAAACCAATAGGCGTAGTAAAAATTATTTCCGTTTACTCCGAAGTAGTCAGAATTAAGCGGAAGTAGATCCTTAAGACAAAAAAAAAAGTTAAGTGCATAGTTTTATTTGTCATAGTCACAAGTACAATACACAACTGTATTGCTTTTATTCTGTTGCCGAATAAAAGCCTCTACTATCACATAACAGGTGTCTATGGAAATTACTTTCCTCGATGTTTAAATTTTAAATATCTTTACCCGTTATTGGTAACATCGAGCATTAAAGTCGGCAGTAAAGTTTCCATTAAGGCTAAGAGCCGTGATAGCTCATTTTCCGGGCGCACGCTTTTGATTCAATACACTCGAGCAACCTGAGTTCGATACCCGGAGCCAGTAACAATGAAATCGTTAATTTTAACTGCTGACTTATGACGTGCTCAAGTTAGCTCAGTTAAGGAAATATCGTGAGAAAACCTGCATTATTTCGAAATAATAAAAAAAAATTCAAAGATATTTGAAGTCCGCCAATCCGCAATGGGATAGAAAACGTATGAAGTCGGATTTTCATTACTAAAACAATTTTAGTTTTGGTAGGGCAATGTTTGCAAGGGTTATTGGGCAACAATGGATAACCTCAAAAACAAAAAGAGGGATTCCCGCTCTCCTGCTCCTTACTTCTCCAGACAAAGTTGTAATGTTTCAAAATGTTACCCCACAAAGGGCAACTTCGGCGTAAATTCGCCTTAAAGTACAAGAGAGTCACATTCTCCTACATTTCCTTAGCAACCGTTGAATCTTACAGCTTTTTCATTACGAGTTGGGGAGCAGTCCTTCTAATGGGAACATTGCGCGGTGGAAGGCCGGACGAGGTGGCCGCGCGACCTGAAAACCTCGCTACGTAATTGGCTCTTACCATTGTTAATCCTATCGTATACGGGAGCCGCGTAGTGCTATAAAGGAGCCACGCAAACGGGGTGCGGCTTTCGCGCCCAAACAACGAAACTGCAAACATCCTTCAAGGTTCTGAGCCTACTTTTCGAGAATGTTGTTTGTTCGGAAATAACCCCTAATTTATACGGCTCTGTGGGCGTATTACACACACAGATGCATAGCTAGTAGTAACCTTTATTAATACAATAAAACAAACAATAAACGAAGGAAACGATAAGAAAATAGACAGAAATATCTAAAAGAGAGACAAAATCCAGTGATGCATAATAAAAGGCTGCGTTATTCATCCACTATTTTAATATGGGGGAAAAATATCTAATTTATATGGCTCTGTGGGGGTATTATAAACAAAAAGTCAGAAGTAAACATTATCAATATGATATAACATACAATTAACGAAGGAAACAATAAGAAAATATTCAGAAATATCTAAAAGGGAGACAAAATCCAGTGATGCAAATAGAAGCGTTATTCATCACCCACTATTTGGTGCATTCGGGTACGAAGAGGCATTTCAAGTGAGACCGTGTAGCGATGAAAATTTAGTCAACAGGTGTACGTCGTGAGTATTTTTTTCTGCTTTTCTTTTGTTCTATCTCGAATATCTACTCGAATCGTCATAGTTTAACGGCACAGGCAATAACTATGTAAAATATATGGTCCTATACGATTATTGTTATTTCTTTTGTGCCAATCTGCACTCGAAACTTCAATGAGTTTTATAGATAAATTGTTGTATCCAGTAGAGGATATGACAATGGATGCGCCAAACATTGCTTGAAATGCGAAAGAAAAAATGTAGATAATAGACGTTGAGAGTTTTTGTTGGCGTGGCAATCAGCCGTTTAGCTTAGTGGTTATTGATCTGGGCGCGAATCCCGAACCCCGAACCCACGTAGTTTGATTGCCAAAGAGTCGAAAAACTTTTCGTAGTTTTTTCTACAAATTTTAAAATACTTTTATTATACCAACCACAATGCTGAACGACTTATGCCATTCCTGCAATACAATGGCGAGAGGCTCGTTTGGAAATCGCCCCAAGTTCGCATCGGACGACGATTTACAAGCATTAGAGATAAACGATGAGATTGGAGCAAAGCCGACGAAATAAAGCACCGATTAGCAACAGTCCAACTGTGACCAGCCCTAATTGATGGCTCTAAGCGGGACTGATGCCTAGTCGTGTTCATTAGTAACGCTAAATACCACGGCCATGTCTGCTTGGCGGTGTCGGATTTGATTAAAACGGTGATGATTGAAGAATCTAGATGGTAGGTAAGTTGACGGGTTTAGGGAATTTCCTGTCTTTTTGTACGAGTAGTTTGTTTAGGCATTTGAAAAACGCGATGCAGTCGAGTTCAAATCTGATTTCATTAACTGTGGAAACAGGCTATGGAAATTGCACATATCAAGGAATTGTTGATTTTTAATTAATTTTACTTTCAAGAATCAATGCCCAACAATTTGGCGGTGTAAGGTCGGTTAGCATACGCTAACTACTCCACCGCATAGGCTTAATAAAGTGGCAGTTAATATCATCGGTTTTACTCATCTATTCACCTATATGTGCCATATTCTGCAATCGAAATTTAAAATTACTCACATACATACGTAAATATATGCTTATTAAATCTCACTACAATGGCAGTTTCAAAAGATCAACCTCTATCATCCACATAGCACATAGCACGTCACACGGGATGTTCACTTTGCATCGGTAAAGGGAATAAAGCCGGCACCAAGTAGGCATCGCCGGCGGCGTTAACAAGCGGAAACGGAGGGATGGGAGGAGGAGGAGGGGGGGGGGGAGAGCCGTGGGGCACGTGGACCCTTTCAGTAAGGGCCTTGCGCACGACCTGAATCGTAGAGATTGAAATCATTCATTGAGGCTCCCTGTCAACACATATATGGGTCGCACCTAAGATGAGACTAGCTACTATTTTTTTTTTAAATTACGAAAAATTAAGTTTAACTTTCATTCATTAGTTAGGCTCCCTGTCAACACATATATGGGTCGCACCTAAGATGAGACTAGCTACTATTTTTTTTTATGTAGACATCCATATACGTGGCTCTGCTTACGTAGGGGTCTATCGAGCCCATAGAAACTTAGCCTTATCACCAAAGATACTTTATGCCAAGAAAAATAAGAATATTTTTTTTATCAAGCTAGGAGGTGGCACCCGATGTTAAATGAATACCGCCGATATGGACACGCCTAATGGGCGATATCTACAACACCGGATGGCTTACTGTTGGTTTGTCAACCGTTAAAAGAGTGGGCCCCCGCTAGTGCACTTACCAGGCGAAATACGTTTAATATTTCCACTTCACGCTGGTCTTCTGTGAGGCCGTGGTTCTTCCCCGGACGAGTCTGCCCATACGTGCAACAGCAGAAGCTGTTACGTGGCCCCACCATAGTGGTATAGGTGAGTAGATAACACTTTTGTGCCGTGAAAATATCGGCCGGTTAGCTTAGTTGATAAAGTGTCAGGGTGCGATCCCCCAAAGACCTAGGTTCGACGTCTACAACGCCCGATAGTTTTTGACAATTTATCTACAAATATACACAATAAATACTTTACCTGTTACTAGCGGGCAACTATTGCAAGCAAACTTCGCGTAACAATCGATTATACAAATCGAACAATCATATTCGAATTACATTAATCGTTTTCCAAGTTTGAAACATTACAATCTTCAATTTAGATTTAAGTTTAGCATGTTTTACAAGAAAAATAAAAGGTAAAATCCTTTCAATGGATTTTAAACAATTCTTATTTTAATTATATGGTTGGTAACCGTACAATTAGATTTTCCTACCGTATTTCTAAAGGGCGGTTGCTCTGTTAAGATTTCGTTAACAATCAAGTTCTGCGGTCGAGACGGGAAACGGCTTGACATTCTTTTGTTAGGGGCTTTGAGAAGCTAAGATTAAAAGGGGAACAAAGCGAAGTAGATGAGTGTAATAAGATAACTACATAATTTCTCTTGAGATCATATAAAACGATGACTTTGATCATTTCAAATGTGACAAGTAGAAAGATTTGTGATAATTTCTTGTATTTACGCGATTACACATTATAAATGAAACTAATTTTACGGATGTCCCGTGACCATGAACGCTGTAAAGGGTTCGAAACGTCGGGAATTAAAATTAAAAAATAAACGCGATAAATCCGTAAAATTAGTTTCATTTATAAGATTTGTGATATCGTTAATTTCGTATTTTCACCCAAATGATTTCTCTTGTTTTAGTAATTTTCTTGAAGTTATACCTTTAAAATGGTGTCACCATGGCAAACAAGAACAACTTTTCGAAATTTACCTAAAAGGTCAAGTTATTTAATTGAACCGTTATCAACTGCATTTAATGTCTTTTTTTCATCAACTAAGCGCTCTGGCACACGGAACAAGATTTTTTTATTATTTTTATTATCTTTTATTTTTTTATTATTTTTGTTACGCTAAAAAAGTATAACTTGCTACGTGCGTTCACAAATACACATCACGTTTTTTTTATATTAAACTGGGTAGTCACATTTACCGTAGAATTACTTTATTTGACTTGGTCTTTAACTAAACGCATATTTAAGTTCTCCACCCATTTAACTAGAACTAGTGATTGTAATCTAATGTAAGACATAAAAAGGACAGCAGTAAATAATTTCCATGCCACACGGTTTAGGCTGAGTGAGTTTTCATACACAAAGCACGCCAATCTTAATTTGTGCAATCGAGAGGGAACACAAACAATAGGTAGAATTAGGAATTTGTTCATAATAAGGAATATTTAGATGACTCCGCGTCTTAGTTGCCAAGGTACTCGCTTCGGCGCCGGGGGTCGTGGGTTCGACTGCCACCCGGGACCTGACTGTTTGTCCGCGTGAAATTGATGTATGTAAAACGTATTGCCCTTACTACAAAACAAGCCTGCGCGAATGGACGCAAATTGCGTCTAAGCAGTTTTTGCCGTTTCATATGGATCCACAAGTTTTATCTTTTATAACTTTTAGAATTGATGCCGGCCTGATGTTGCAGTGTCATACTTCTGCGTTTCGTCTGGTGATTGAGATATCCGGAGCCCACTTTAATAAAAGGTATCTGCATCCCTACGGGTGTTGCAAATGTCCATGGGTGGCGGTTATCACTTAGCATCAGGTGAACCACCAGCTCGCTTGACATCTTCTCACATAAACAAATACCGTCGGACACGTGTTCTTTACAGTACAAACATATTGCTTTCGAAGTATCATGAGACATGATTTTGCTATTTTTTTTTTATTGAACTAACCGGTTTAAATGATTAACATATACAAAATAATTACGATATACAAATTTTATTTCAATTATATCGATCCTCCCAATAAGAAAAGAACCTACAAATACATAACTCGCTTATAAGTCAAAGAACGTTACTACGTTACAGCTTTTACGATATATATTTTATACGTATCGTCATATCATTATGTAAATTGATTTGGTGTCACAGTCCTCGATTTACTACATAAATTTATTCGTGTCTATATTAAGTGTTTATTTATTTCGTCCTGAATAGCTTTTTCCTATTAGCGTCATCTATAAATCTCTTTAGGCTGTAAACCATTTTTTCATGGGCTTGTTTGTCCAAGAACCTACCGCGACCTGATAGTGGAGCAAAGTCAAATATTGATTCTGTTGCGTTTCGTCATGAGTGGGGTAGTCAGAGCTAGCCCTCGTAAAGGTTAACAATGCTAGTAAGCCCCTCGACATCCACCTCGATGTCCACGACCGGCACTAATCAGCACTTAAAATGATGATGTACGAAGCTGGCGCGAGGCCTGCTTTTATTCGAGTATCGGGGCATCCCCCATGCCTCGGACATAATCTCGACCAGCAATGGCTGGTCGGTGATGAGGATGGCCGACGGCCATCCCTAGCTCTGACCGCGGCAGCGGCACTGGCGGGTGTACAGCGTTACACGCGGTGTGTAACGCGTGGACGACATCGTCTTCTCAACGGCGGAGGTGCGGTCGGGTCCGGCTCCCCAGTGGCCTCCGACCGCAGTAGCTCTCGTGGGAGCGGGCGCCCGTCAGGAGGACGGGCGTGTAGGGGGCGATATTTTGTAGGTGTGGATGTGGTCCGTTGTCGGCCCGGTCGTACATGCGACGGGCCAACCGGACCACAAACTCCTGGATGGATTCGATTTTTAGATCGCGGGCGATTACGTCATTCCTGACGTAGCGCCCGGCCCCCACGATTACTCGAAGGGCGAGGTTCTGCTGCGCCTGAAGCCTGCGCCTCTGCGAGGCGGAAACCAGACCATACCACGCCGGAGCGGCGTAGGTCAGGCGCGAACGTACGTACGTCTTGTAGACGCCGAGTTTGGTCTTGATCGGTAACCTGGATGCCAGGATAGGGTACAGCATGGCTCGAGCTGCTCTGGCTTGTCGGACGGCGTGTCCGACCTGGGGAGCCATGCACAGCGAGCGGTCTATCCGGCACCCAAGGTACCTTATGATGTTCTGGTTGGTAATCGCCTGACCTCGCAGCTCAAGCGTGGGTTGGTTTTTAATGCGGCGGATATATATGGCGGACGTCTTGTCGACGTTGACAGACATCCGCCACTTATCCAGCCACTCGGGCAGCAGGTCCAGTTGGCGCTGCATTTTCCTCGCCGCAATCGCCGCGACGTGAGAAGACGTGAAGAACGCACTGTCGTCCGCGTATAGGGCCAACAGTACGTCTTCATCCCAGTCGGAGGCGTTTTGCTCCAAGGTGGGAATGTCGTCCGTGTACACCGCATACAGGTGTGGCGACAGACAACTACCTTGTGGTACACCGGCTTTGATGCATCGTACCGCCGAGTCGGCTCCCTCGACGTGCACGACGAACTTCCGGTCCTGAAGAAATGACGCTACTAACCGCACGAGCGCACGGTGGGTGGTGGTGTTTTCTAACAGCTTGTGCAGCAGACCCTCGTGCCACACTCTGTCGAAGGCCTTCTCCATGTCGAGAAGGACCCCCAGACAGATGCGGCCCCTGTTTGTACTGGGCCGCAAGATAGTGCAGCACTCGGGCCAGCTGCGCTGTGGTGGAGTGGCCGCTGCGGAAACCGAACTGTTCCCTGCGTAGCTCGATGCAGGGAACTATTCTCCGCAGCAGCAACCGTTCGAAAAGTTTTGCTACGTGCGGCAGTAGCGTGATTGGCCGGTAGCTCGCCGGAAGTCGTCGGTCCTTGCCCGGTTTCGGCAGGACGATGATCTTGCCGGTTTTCCACTCAGAGGGGAAGTGTGCCGTGCGCAGTACACCATTGTACAGGCGGCACAGCGCAACTAACCCCCTTTTCGGTAGTTGCCTTATCGCCAACGTCGTGATTCCGTCGATGCCGGGTGCCTTGCGGAGCGCGAGTTGACTCGCGGCTCTACGCACTTCGGCCGGAGTGATGAAGAGTCCACCATCCAGCAGCCGTGGCATCGGCTCCGACAGGAACACCTGTATGTGCCGCTCCACTTCTTGGTGGAACGCAATGGCGCCTGGGGCCGATGTATTGGGCACAAATTGCCCTTCTAAGTGCTCTGCCAGAATGTCAGCCCTGTCTTGGGCTGCAACGTGCTTACGTCCGTCACCGCCCACGAGTGGACAAATGGGTTGTGGCGTTCGGCTGAGCTGCCGGTTAAGGTGGTGAATGCGGCGCTCCCACCCCTCACCCCTGTACGCCTTGATGGCTGCCGACAGCTCATCCTTGACCCGATTTAGACGTGTCTTCACTCGTGGGCAGCTGGTGCGTGCCCACAGCTTCCTGAGCTCCCTCTTCTCGTGCAGTCGATCGAGGAGCCTACGCGGGAGTGTGTCTTTTCGGTGCACCTGTGGCACCGCCTTGGTCGCCGCGCGCAATTCTTCCTGTATTTTACAGGTGATTTTGCACGCGGCCTGTTCCACGTCCTCCGCGGTTGAGATGGGTGCACCGAAACTGAAGTCGGACATAGCTCTCGAATAGGCCCCCCAATCGGTCCTGTACCTAGGGCCTCTGGGAGCCAGTGAGTCCGCAGCCAGACTCAGCACGATGAGCACAGGGAGGTGCTGCGTGTTCGCATCATACAGCACCTCTACCTGGACAGGGCATGGCACTTTGTGGCAGAGCACGATGTCCAGGACATCCGGAACTTGGTGTTCGTCGGTGGGTACGTGTGTGGGCTCGTCGGGGCCCAACACTTCGTAACCCGCCTCTTCTGCGTCCTCGTATAGACTCCTGCCAGCGGGGGACACGACTCGCGATCCCCACGATGGATGTTTTGCGTTGAAGTCCCCCGCTATAATGGCAGGAGTGTTGTCGGAAAAAATATTCCGGATGTCTCTGGCATTGAAGGGTGAGCTGGGTGGGCGATACGCAGCGAACATGCGTATTTCTTTCCCGCCCGCGTGGAGGCATACGCCTATGGAGCGCGTGCTTACGAAGCTACGCAGCTCCTCTTCGTCGTGTACTAGGTCCCGTCTTACCAGCACGGCCGTGCCTCTGTAGGCATAGCCGTGGTCGGGGGAGATCTCATCCCGTCTGTACACGACGAAGTTTGATAGGCGGAACGGCTGACTCGGACGGAGTTTGGTCTCTCCCAGCAGCACAATCTGGATGTTGTGCTGCTGAACCAGCATCCTAAGTTCCGAGAGCCGCTGCGTTATGCCTCCGGGGTTCCAGTACATGGCCCTAATTTGTGGCGCCATTGCGTACCGCGGTCAGAGATTTAATGGCGTTCGTTAACGCCGTTAAGGTGTCATTTCCTGTCGCGATGGAGACCAGGACATCCCCCAAGATTCCTGTCACCAGCCGGATCAGTTGATTTATTGCCTCCTCGATTCCCTGTGCTACGAACGCAGAATCGCGGGAATGGGAGGCAATGACGTGGTGGGTGGGTGGGCCTCTTACCCCTTGGCCTAGTTGGGCAGGTTGGTGGTGTGGTCGCGGTGTAGTTGTTGCCACTGCGGCAACATTCTCCCGCCGTTTTTGCTGCTGCCGCTTTTTCGGCGCAACAGTGGTGTTGGTTTGGGAAGCGGGGGGGGGCTGTGGGGTCACCACGGCTTGGCCCACTGAGTGCGGTTGAGGGATGCTCTTCTTCTTCCTCTTCCCCCTCTTCTTCTTTTTCTTGGCCTCCTGGCCTCGAATGGTGGCGTCGTTGGCCGGTGCCATGAGTGTGGTATGAGTACTTGCTGCTGGCTGAGTCGTGCTCACAGCCATTGCGGGGGTTGTCGCCGTGCTCCCCTGAGTTTGAGGGGGAAGAGGCATTACGCTCCTTTCGGGAGGGTGTGGAACTTGTCTGGGTGGCGGTGGGTGGTGGTAGTGGCGGCGGCAGTTTAATGCCACGGCTCTTGGCCACCCTTTGAAATATCGCACAGCGCCTGTCATTGGCTGCGTGCTGTTTTGCGCAGTTAGCACATTTCGGCGCTTCGCCTTTGCGTGGGCATTCGGCCGATATGTGCTCACCAGCGCAGCGCACGCAGCGCAGGGGTCTGTGGCAGTTGGCAGATGCGTGACCGAACCCCTGGCAGCGGTGGCATTGTGCGGGACCACCTTTTCCAAGCCAGGCCTCTATGGTGATGCCTGGCATGTTCAGCACCTCTGTGACATCGTAGAGGCGCTTTAGCTCGTCTTTATTGAGGTGGTCAAGTTTGAGGTGGTAGAGCGTTCCCAGCCTCGACCTCTTGGGCATTATCGCCCTTGAGTAAGTAGCCGGGAACCCTATTTTCCTAAAATACTCGACCACCTCGTCTGGTGGTGTGTCCCTTGGGAGGCCTCTGATCCCTACCTTTGTTGGTACTTCTTCTGGCGGAGCGTAGCAGTACCACACAACAGTGGGGTCCTTTTGGCTACACTCGACGAGGTAGCGCTGGATTACCCGGTATTCCGCGGCATTCTCCGGGGTAAAACGCACCCCCTTGCCGAGCGGCCTGGCGTTTGGGGCGTGTCCTAGCTGCCCTTTGAGGACAGAAAAGTGTTTTGTCCATTGTGGTAGGCACTCTACCACAATGGGCGGGTATTTGCGCCCCTTCTCCTCGGCAAGTTGAGATGGCGCTTGATTGGTCCCCTGTGTTGTAGAGGACCGTCGGCTTGGTGATGGTGGAGCCGAAGCCGCGTTAGCGTACGTCGGCGGTGCTGTTTGAGCAGTTGAGGGGCCGGGTTGGGGCTCCTCGGAGTCCATTTCAACCTCATTCCCTTCGGTATGTTGACCACCATTTGATGGTCCAGGCGTCGGCTCTATCACGTCGTTGGTGTGAGTAGGGACATCCTGCCTCTTATCCCTGTTTAAGGCTGAGTCGTCTAATTTGGGACGCTTATCGTCCTGGGTTGGCGACTCAGGGGATGTGGGTGGACGGGGGGTTTTCGTCCTTTTTGTGGTATTAGCGGGCACTAATCACTGATCATCTTTTTTTTATGCGAAAGGTTGTCAAGCGAGCAGACGGTTCACCTGATGTTAAGTGAATACCGCCGCCCATAGACATCTGCTACACCCGAGGGTTGCAAATGCGTTGACAACCTTTTGAAAATTGGGCTCTCGCCACCCCACTCACCAGACGAAACGCGAAAGTATTATGCTTCCACTTTACGGCGGCCATCTGCGAGGTCGTGGTACTTACCCGGACGAGCCTGCCCATTCGTGCAACAGCCGAGGCTGCTGCTTGGCCCTATCACCGTGCATTTATATCGAGAACATTATATCCCGGTTGCCTTTTTTGCTATGTTGGTAGAAAGTCCGGAGGCCCTACTCAACTTCAGCTAAATTCAAGAACTTCACTTCAATTAAATTTGCTAATATGCGAAGCTCAAACCCCAAACATTTATTAATATAAATTTTTCTTTTACATCGTATTTTTTTTATAGCGGATCTTTGAATAATATTTATTTATTTAATATTTACAAGATTAATCACGTAAATTAATGTAAGGTTTAATTATTCAAATGAAATATTTTTTCTTATCGTCTTAAGTAGCTAAAATATATTAATGCCATGAATCATCACTCATGAAAATCTAGTTTATCGTACAAAATAAATTTGTATACTGTTAAATCCTCACGAAGCATTAAAATATGATAAGACGGTTAAAGAAACCGATTTAGAAAAAAATACGTTTAATTCTCTTCACCACGTAGGTTAGTTACGAGCAAAACTTTTTGAATAGAAACACTGTGAGAGAAAGCACCCAGTCACGACACTTTTATATGTCGCCTTTTTTTTAAATCCGAGTGACAAACACTCTTGACGACTTTTATGCGAGTGCGGCATTTATGACGTGAGCTCCCCTCCAGGGATGTCACTTTCACGACATCAAAATTTGCTGGGGATATTTGATAAGAATTTTCTGACTTGCCTTCGCTTTCTTTAGCAGTTAAAAGGTTTGTTTAGAAAAGTTTGATTAAAACATCGATAAGTTAATGTTTAATGAGTTTCACAGTACGAAACGATAGCTTTCACTGAACATTGTCATAAAAATAGCTTATGAAATTTTTAATTGAAACTTCTGGAGTTTTCATTTAAAAATAGACCTCGAAAAAAATCTGTAAACCAGTTTTAAGATGTATAATATTTGCCGGAACTTTATGAAATCATTGTGAACATAAAGCGAAACAGACTGATTTTAGGAAATTGGCAATCCTACACTTTCTACTTCTAATTATGACCTTCACAACTCCAAAGGCATTTAAAAATATGAAAGGGCAGTGAAAGAGCGACTCATGACTTTATTACCCGTTGTGTTAATCGAGAATTAGCCGACTTGAATACATTTTCCTCTAGGATTTGAGGTAATAATTAGGTTCTTTGAGTTCTAGAGACTTTTAGTGTTTACGAGCTGCTCAAATGTTTAAGATGCCTTTCAATATTTAAGTAACGTTACAGTATTCGGCCCTTAGAAATACAGCCTGGAAAATCATTATTACGTAGTTCGAAATAGGAGGTTACTTCATCGATTGAAAGCGTCACTTCTAAACCGATATATGCGATTTGTTTATACTATAAAGCCATCGGCCCTTTAGCTTACTTATCTATCCGCATAGTTTAACGCGATGCCCATCTTAGAGTGAGTTAAGCGCCATCTAACGGTTGTGACAGGAAGTGGTCTGGTGTTGTATTTAAGATGACGCGGGAACGTACTATATAATATAAATCATTCTATCCGAGCTGAATATGTACATGTTAAGCTTTGATACTACAGAACTCATTCTACATTGAACACGTCGTGTTTTAATGTAGGATGAGTTCAAGGGTCGTCAATGTTAATGTAATCCGTGATTCTGTATACAATACTGCTAGTTACGAGGAAAATATCCATATCAGTCTGGTCCATACTATTTGTGGTGCATTACAATTTATTCTATAATTCTACCTACTACAATGAATCCGACGTCGCCGGCGGTATTTCCGAACCGACACGACTAAGGGACCTTCCTTATCTTCTCTCTGATCCTTTCCGTGCTTTGACAACTATGATAATTTGCAGAATTGCTGGTAAGCTTTTGTTCGATAGTTTTATTATTTTTACGATATACAATTAATGATACACAAACACAATTCACATGGACGACCACACGTGTGTTTTTGTCCTTGAATTGTCCACATTCTACTAAGTTGCGTGTCCATTTGCGCATCTACATAACAGAAGTGCTTTACACTAGAGACGGTTCGATCCGTTGCCATGACGACGGTCACTGACCTTTGATCGGCGGCAGCTTGACCAGCTCCTGGTTGTGGTGCTGCACGTTGAAGCGGCTGGAGCCGTGGCGGCGTGGCTGGCCGTTCCAGCCGGGTGGTCGGGGCCCGTCTGCCGCTCGGGGCACTATGGCCGCCGGCGGCGGTGGCCGGGCGGCCAGCACCGGCGGCGGCTTCTCCGGCCGGCCCTGGCGACATTTCACGCAGTTCACAAACTGGTGGCGGCGGCGCTTGGCAGAGCTCTCGATGGTTAGTCGATAGTGAATGAATATGGGCCGCCTTCCCTGGCATTGTCTATATCGACCGCGTTATCCACGGGCTAATATAAAACTCCTTTATTATCCCACCTGCGTTCGGCCCTATACAGTTTATAGTGATATAGACATAAAAAAGAGTAATCCACTAATGGACATTTTTCGCTGAATTTGGCATAAAACCTTGTGTGTATACGTTTTGGGTTAATCTCAAACAATCGGGTTGATTTCATCATCAATTGGTGAAATAAGTAGAGTAAATAAGGTAAAAAGAGAATGAAGTAAACTAAGGACAGTTTGTTCTCGCTTGCCTGATTCTAATACTACGTAATTACGTAGTAATCATAACATACTATATTCTTGACATTTTACGTAAAAAAATGTATATTAATAATATATATGTATAGTAATATTAATCACAAAAATTTCCCACGAAGAAAAAGGGAAAAAGTGTGTCACGATCTAGCTGGTCGGCTACTACGATTACGCTTTTCAACAGTAGAAAGACTTATATGTAAATCTTCATTAGGAGTCGTAAAGTCGAATTCGTCGAAAGGAGTCGTAACTAATTACTGCGAAGTACCGTAATAAGTAACGACTCCTTGATATAATGAATGGTTATCGAGAATTATCGAGTCAGTAATGAATCACGGATTAGCTACAGATTAACCATCATCCCACCCAAAAACCGACTAAACTAAGATATGCTGGTGCTGTAGTAGTTTTTTTTAATGTGGATTGTTGGTAAGCGAGCAGACGGCTCACCTGATGTCAAGTGAATACCACCGCCCATAGACTTCTGCTACACCCGAGGGTTGCAGATGCGTTGACATCCTTTTGAAAATTGGTGTTGGTAAACAGACCTAAAACATAGCACATAGCTTTCAGCTATATTGAAGCGAGCACGAGATAAAGCTTTTAAATTGGTTTTAGTTATGATTGGAATATGTACAATAAAACTTTCCGGAAATCGATATAAATTACTGTTTGTCGTTGTCGTGCTTGTAAATAGCATATATGTTCGATTAGTTGTAGATGTAGATTATAGTATTATTTATAATATGACTCGTCTTACTGATAACGAACAACGATTTGATTATAATGTTAACACAAACAGTAATAAAAGCTACGAACATAAACAATAAATTTAGTGAACGAGACATAACGTCTTAAATATATCGAGAATAGAGAAACAAAACAAAAGACGCAAACGCAGACGCGAAATAATCATGACACTCGAGCAGACGCGTCAAACAAATTACGAACGCAAAGGGATCGGCCGACAAATCAAGGCGAAAGGATACGGTCGGCCCAATTGATGATATCCGAGGGTTGTCAGACTGAACGATATCAATGCGTACCTTCGTACGGCTGAAACTGGGTCGGTGCGTGGGAATCGACCGCTCTCTGTGTCAATGTTAGCGGGACGCATCCTGGTGGGCTATTTTCGTCCGCGCCGTTTTTAACACGACCAGGCGAAGAGAATATGTACATTGTATTCTATTCTTAAAATTCATAACGGTCGCACTAAGAGATTTCAATTAGCAATTAACTGACATACAACTGTATTTGTCAATTGGAGTCTTATTAATAAGTTCTTGGGATTAAACTTAGCAGAGATTCAGTTAGTACTTAACTAACAATAATATTTTTATTACACAACGTTCTCTATCCCAAACTAAGCAACAACCTGTAGTATGGGTACTAGATAACTGATAAAATACTTTTGTTTTGTAAATAAATACATATTATACATAATCAACAATAAATACAAACACCCAGAGACTAGAAAAACACTATGTTCATCACACAATATTTTTCTAGTAGTGGGGATCGAACCCACTACCTAACAATACCTATATAAGATTGGTTATTAAAATATTCTTCGACAGACAGAGCAGTTTCAAATATTTCTGACGTATGAAACGTGAATTGTTTGCCAAACGGGATGCTTACGATTTTGGTGCGCGGAAATCTAGTGGGATAAACTGCGAAGGTAACTTCTAATACGGTCTGTTTACATAATTTTAAACAAATTCAATAAAACGAACCTAATTAAATAATTACACATAACTTCATGTGTAATTATTTTTGATATGTGTTTCTACCCACGCACAGTGAAGAAACTCTGATAGATCACAAACTTCTTTTTTCTCACAAACTCATTTCGGTACATACACTATCTTTACGTGAGTTTAGCCGTTTTATTATTCCGTCAATAATTACACACATAAATCCTTACATTCATTTCACTTATATCTTGGTCCCACAGGGGGTAAGCAGACAGATAGCGACATAATGTGCTCGATACTGGCATTCTTGCTTTTCATCTCGCACGTCCATCCAATTTTTCATACTTTTGATGTGTTCTTTTCGCTGCAGGTTTCAGATTTCTCTTTAACGGCAATGATATTGAACTGTGAACATAATTCATAATCCATGAAGTTAATCTCGATACGTAGATTTGTGTCCATACATTGCAATAAACCGAACTCACTCAGACTAGTTTGGTATTTTAACGCCAGAGTCTGTTAAGTTATTTATGAACAGATTTGTGCGAGTGGGTGTGGTTTGAATTGGGGGGAACCTCCAAGAAACGCCTCTTTGTGGCGACGATAAAGATTCCTATGCCGTTGAAGAGTCTCAAACGACGATATACGTATGAGTTTGGAAACAATGTCATTAAAACGAATTCCCTGCAAAGTGATGATATTTGAAAGGAAAGGAAATATGACAAAATATAATTAATAATGAAAATTAGAAGTTAGTGAGTGGAGAGTAAAAAACGGCCCTATATGAAAATCTATCACCAACCTGCTCGTAGGCAGTGAGGTCGTGTCCATAAAGCCTCTAATGACATTTATCTACTATTACTATTATTTAGCTATAATTTAGTGATAGGATGAGGATTGAAGGTGGTAAAAAAGGTTTTATTGAAAAGATAATAAAAAGACTTATGATAACCATAAGGATAGAAAAAAAATGTATCTAGCGAGGATCACTGCAGTGCAGGCACAAGAAGACTGCACCTTTTCCTATAATTAAAAAATAAAAACTGTTGCATGTCAATATAGATTATAGATAGACCTTACGTTTGATTTTAGAACGTTTCAATATAAAACGGTAAAATACACCACATAACTGACCCGAGAAACTATTCTACGATCAATTTAGAGTGCAAGTCAAATCGATTCGGCATCGGTACGTATCGGAGCGTACGACTTTAAATTGGTGTTTTAAATATAAATGGGGCTTACGACGGAGAGATAACCTCATAATACAGAAATGTATGGTGTGCAAAATATTAGTCGCATGCCTCTGAAACTGCACACTATACTAAGCAATTGCACAGTGCAGTTATTTAGTATTGGAGGAACTACGTGCTGTGTACGGGGGAGAGAGGCTAGTGCCAGTTTCATCTATCATCACCTAAAGTCTTAAACCTGACACTTAAACGGTGGTGAAAACGAATTTAGCACTTAAATTTTGTTTAGGTGTCGCTTAATGTTAGGGATCGATGGTGAAAAGGGGCATTAGTGTCTTTCGTATGCATCGTAATCTAAACCACTTTCTGCCTCGCTTACTTTACGTGTCGGTGTACAGTCTCGAAAAACGTCGCTACTCACATTTGGTGAATAATTTTTTTTTAGATATATGGCAGTTCTATCAGCGTGAGCACCCGACTTTGGCACACGACAGTACGTGTGCAGAGCTCCCGGAGTAGTTTCGTTGACCAACTCTTGCACTTGAAGGTACAAGGGCACAAAACTCATAAAGCCAGGTATACTCGTGAGCATTTCAATTTTGCCTATACGTCCTTCTATTTCAGCAACGCCGTTTCTAAAGTGGCAATGTCTAGATAAATTGTGTTACAATGTTATATTGAGTCACGCTTCTACCTACATCCGTGTCTTAATATGTATCCTATTTGTAAGTATGAGTTTCATGCTCTGTTCAAGGCGAAAATGAACAAAGTTGTGGGGACAAATCGAAGATTGAAGATCGAAGTGGGATAACACCCTGTACCAACCTGAACTAAACATTAAAAAATAAGATAAATTAAGTTATGTATGTAATTTGCTGTTAATTTCAATAGCTAAATTGACAAAAAGTATAATCAGTTGCCGTTCGCTCACCAACTGCACGCTAAGTTTCAATTCGTCCCGTTCGGCTTATCAATATCACTTACGTCAATAGGCCAATAATCGTTTCACCAGGGCGCAATAAAAACAATTGTGATAAAAATACGAACGCGACATGACATCACCCCTGCGGTGTAGTAAACGGACACCGAGGCTGACGGTTTATCTACTGTTATTTATAATTCGTCCGGCCTTCACGAAACATGTACGAATATTTTATGTGAAAAGACGGCGAACGAGCACGCAGGTATCATAAAACGCTATTAAGCAAACACCATCACCCGTGGGGGTTGTAGTTGCGTGGCCAACATTTAAGTAGTTGCGTTTTTTTAAGTTCAAGACTGGCCGGCACTTTACTGCCATTCCACCTGATGGTCGTCTGTAAGGGTACTTCTGCGAAATAGTGGACCCTACGAGTAACAGATGAAGCAACTATGTGGCTTAACCACAGTCTGTATATAACGCATATTTATGACGAGCATGCAACAAGCCTTTGAAAAAGTTTGCGAATGTCCGCATGATCCGAAACTTGTAGCCAACAAATCCCTTCGCCTCAATTAAAATTAATGGCAGCGAGTTATTTTAAGATTGGCTTTAGTCAACGTTACGTAATAAATAGCTGCTATTTTTCTTCTCATCGCGTGAAACTATAGACAATATTACATCGTGTCCCCGTGGAAACAAAGGAGTCGTGTCTCTAATTGTAATCTAATGAATCTACTGGGATCATTATGCAAATAAATTAAGTCGAGCTGGAATTGGATGTATCGAGATGTATTTGATAGAGTACTT